ATTCTAGATATATAATAGATCTAAATAAAAGATTATAGCTCTTAGCCCTTATTTAGATATATCTAATATAGCTAAGAGCTCTTAGTCTAGGTTAAAGTATTATATAGCGCTAATATTAACTAGCCCTCTAGTTATATTAATAAAAGCTTTTTTTTCCTCCTCTATGCTTTTCTATATAATCAAGGAAATATATCCTTTGCGCTATTATTTAGATTTTAGTTCCCTTAAATTATATCTCTTAGAGAATAGTTTTATTTTTTGCCTTTATAATAATCTAATCTAATTAGAGAACTAAGGAATAAGGCTTTAGAGCTATTTAATTATATTAATCTAGGTTTTTAAGTCTATTAGGGTTTTAGGGAATTCTAAGTTATATAGAGCTTAGACTTATTTATTAGTATTTAATAGTCTTAGATTATTTACCTTAAAACTAAATAGCTATATTAATAAGTATACTAAGAAGGATTTATTTATTAATAAGGTTATATTTTAGTCCTTAAAGAAGATAAAGAGAGTATAAAGGTATTAAAGATATTTCTTTATAGTATCTAAGAATATTATAATATTATTAATAAAAGCTATAATATATTCTCGGTATAGTTTTAAGATATTATCTATAAACCTTTATATATATACTAGCGAGTTTTTAAACCTTATAAAAGTAACCTTAGATTATTCTAGCCCTTAGTAGCTAATAATTATAAAATAATCTTAATATTTTATATAGATAAAGAATTAATAGAAAAAAGATCTAATATTTACCGCGCTAATATATTACTTCCCCTTAAGTTTATTTATTATATTACTTTATAAGGGCATTAAGTATATATCTATAAATATCGCTTTATTTAGCGCCTAGAGATCTATTATAATTTTTTTTTTTTTTTTTTTATTTATTATATATTAGACTATAAATATAGGATTTATAAATAATATAAATTCCTATTAGAACTTTATCTAGTCTTAGTTATAAAAGGCTCTAAAGGTCTTATCTAGGAATTCTTTAGCCTTTAGGCTAAGTAAATATAATTAAGACCTAAGTTTTTACTAATATTAATTATTAATAAGTAGTATTCTTATTTATTTATTTTTATTAATAATAATTAATCTTATATCTTCCTATAAGGTAAGGAACTCTATAAGTAATATAAGAATTATATTAATAATTAGTTTACCCTAGTTATAAATCTATACTCTTAGGCTAATAGAAATCTCTAGGAGGTTCTTTAATTAGGAGATCCTTAGCTTAAGTCTTAGATCTAGCTTTAATTATTAAAGCTAATTATTATATAGGGGATTATTTTACCCCTAGGAGACTATAGGTTTATAAGCTAGCTTATATATAACTAGGCGTTCTAGGGAATCCTTTGCCTAGAGTAAGATAGGTTCCTCGCTTAGCTTTAATACTATTATTTATAAGAATATTCGCTTATCTAATATAATATCTTTATAAGCTATTAGGAGTTATACTTAGTATTTTTCTTTAAAGCGCTTATTAGTATTATTAGGCCTTAGGATACCTATCTTTTAGCCTTAATAAATAATTTAGGCTTCTAGGGAATTATTATAGAAGAAGATATTATTAGCTTCTCGCGTTATTATTAATATATTACCCTTAATATATAATTTAAAGAAGAAATTATTATTTCTCTTTGCCTTATATATTTTCACGGGGATATATAATCTATTACGAGCTAGGATATTAATAGCTATTTATACCTTAAGCTATTAGGCATAGAATTATTTAGATTAGCCTAGGGTTATTAGGACTAGAATTTTTTTAGCTAATTTAATATAAATATAATTTTTATTATTAAGGATATCTAGCCTATATAGGGTATTAAACTCTTATCCTAAGAGTAATCCTATATTAAGCTAGTCTATAATCTAGGTACTTATTCTAGCCTTAGTTATAATAGGCTATTTATTTTTTATTCCTAGGATATATAGGGTAAACTCAGCCTATCTAACTATATATAATTACCTTACTCTATAAAGAGTAATAATTTAAGTAAAGTCTTATTATATATTAGCTAGAAAGGAGAGGAAGTCTTATTTAATAACTAATTATTTAGCCCTTATATTAATATAAACCTCTCTCTAGGTTTTATTATTTAAAGAGCTTATAATTTATATCCTCGCGAATATATAAATAACTAGTTAATTAGGTCTAGGTATAATATATATAGGCTTATATTTAATTAGAATAGCTAAGGATAGCGCGCTATATACTTCTATTATAGATTATGCCTATTATTTATTAGGAATAAAGTTTATAATTTCTAGGATTTTAGCTATTAATAGGGCTTTTATTACTAGGTTAATTGCTTTTTTATCTAATTTATTAGCGATATTATAATTAGATATTACCTAGGTAAAATATATATAGATTCCTTTACCTTTAATAATAGCTCATAGAGTAATTTATTATTCCTTAATAAGGAAATATCTATCCTTTATATCTTCTTATAATTCTTTAATAGCTATAAATACTTAAGTAATTAATATAAAGGCTTAAGAGGTATTTTATTAGCTATTATTTAGAGGAAATATAATAATATATATAATCCCTATATAGGGTAAGGGTTAATTACCCTTAGTTATACTTTTAGTATTATAGGGGTTATTAAAACCGGTTTAAGCTACTAATATATAGACTTACTTAGCGTCTTTATTAGCTCCTTCTAAGTTAGGAAGGCAAGGTATTTATATAATTACCGGGACTATAGGCTAATAGGTTAAGGCGCTCCTTTAATTAGCCTAATCTCTTATTATTACTTAGATATAAATATTTAATATCTTTTATTTATAATCCTTTATTTAGTTATTAAATAAGTTTATTAATTAAGGTTAAAGAAAGCTCTCCTTAAGGTAATTATTAAGTTAGATATAGGCTTATATAATTAGCTATAAGTTAGGCTATTTAGCTTTTATTCTTATATATTTTAGGGAGGTTACTTAGTTATAGAAGTCTTATTCCTTATAGATATTATTAATAATAAATCTCTCTTTAAGTAGGGCCTAAAGGGTAATATTTAATTATAGGCGGAATTATTTATATAGAAGGTCTTTTTATCTCTAGAAGCTTTATATATCTTATAATATATATCTCTTATTAGTATTAATATTATTAATATATTATTTTAATACTATCCCGAGGAGTAAGGATAGGATATTAAGTATTAAGGCCTCGGCGTATTTTTAGCTCTTAATATAATAGTAATTAAGGGTATTAATAAATTATATTATGCTCTAGAAAACTATATAGGTATTTTAGATAATTACCTTATTATATATTTAGTTATAACCGCTAGCTAATTAGAATTTTCTTATATCCTTAGTCTAGAATTAGACTTATTATTAGCGGGATCCTTAGATTATAGCTATTAGTTATTATAATTATTCCGGGGTAAGTATATAAAGCGCTAATAATAGCTATTATTAATTATTATTTTAATTATTATTATTATTATTATTATTTTAGAGGGGGCTTAGGCTTTAATAGATTTAATTTAAGGAAATTAATTTAGCGATTAAATAATTACTATTATTATTTCTTAGTATACTTACCGATTATAATAATAATTATATTTTAATATTATCTTAGCCGCTTATATCTACGATTAAGGCCTAATAGGGAGCTATGCTTTGCCTATATAACTAGGTAATTAGTATCTTATTATAATCGCCGAAAAGTCTAATTCCTAGGCCTCCTACTATCTCGAGGGTTATTATAGGCTCTATTATTATAGGTAGGTATAAAGAATTAGGCTTTTTTTATTTTACCCGAGGTAATTAATTTTAATATTTACTAAGGGAGAGGCTTAAGGGAATACCTTTTAATAATAATAATAAAATTAATAAGTTCCCTTAGTTATTAATTTATTTAAACTAAGTTCTAGGCTTAAGTGCCCTTAATAATATATAGATTTTAGCGAATTAATTAAATAGAATTAGAGCTAAATATTATTAGTTTAAGGAGAATAATATAAATTAATTTATAAGGGAATTATTAGTTTCTTAAGACTTATATTATAGTTTTATTTCTAGAGAGGCTAGTCTTAATAATAAGAAATACCCTAGAAATATAGGCTATAACTTTAGCTAAGAGGCTAAGTCTTTATTTATTTATCTCTATAATTCCTCTTAAATTTATATATATTAGTAATAGGTTTATTATTATTTAAGGTTCTTAGCTATAACTATAGGTTATTTTTCCTATAAGGTAGGTAAGAATATACCTTAGTTTATAGCTCTAAGTTATTATTAATTAATTAAGGATAAGGGGATACCTTAGGAAGATTAATCTTTAAGATAAATAAAGTCTATTACCTATAGGTCCTTATATTCCTTAAGCTCTTTAATAATAAGTTCTAGAAAGCTTTATAGGTATTTATTAGTTTTATATACTAAGTAGAGATACCTTCTAAGTAATTCTTCTTTAAATATAAGTAAGAAGGGAATAAATTAATAATAAGTAATAATATTATTAATTATTATTATTTATAAGGGAGTAATAATATAAAGGATTATTTATCTCTTATTAGGCCTCTTAGAATTTATAAGTCCTTAAATAAAATATAGATTTCTAAAAGGAATAATAATAAAGTAAGAATTTAATAGGGATTTCTCTAGTTTATTTAGGGGTTTTTATAGGGGAATTCTCTAGGAATTCCCTTTAGTTTCCCCCGAGGATCTTTTTAGGAATTCCCGGGGAATTCTTAGGGAATTCTTTAGGAAGTCCTTAGGAAAAGTAGGTCTAACCTTCCGGGGAATTCCTAGAGATTTCCTAGGGATTTCCCGGTTATATGGTTCCCGGGGATTTCCTTAATATTATTTAATTATAAGATAAGCTAATTTATAAAGTTATTTTAAAAGACTTAAGTCTTATTTTTTATTTATTTTTTAAAGCTTTAATATTAAAAGGTAAGTAATAGCTTTAAAGTAATAATAATCTTAATTTTATTTATAACCTATATATAATTAATAATATTATATATTTAAAATAAAAAAACCTAAAATAAATTATACTTTTAAGCTAAGATATTATACTTTTAATATTATATAATAATACTATAATATATTTAATTTTTTTAAAATATTAATTATATAAATTAAATATCTATAGCTAGTATAAATCCTAAGTTAATTAAGGGCTTTTATACTTAGTATTAAGATAAAATTATTTTTAAAAAGTAATAAAAATAATAATAATATTATACTAGTAGTGTTATATATCCTAAGGATTTAAAACATCTCGCAAAGTCCCATGTATTAACGTCATAGTCTGCTTGTGCCCAAACACTCTCTATGATACTAGAAGCGTTGCGAATACTTCCCAAAGTCCCGAGAGCTGCTGTTCGGTCCAATATAGAACGAACAATTGGCCGCTGCTCCTCAACAGCAATGCATCCAGTCACACAAATTGGCCAAACAAGTGAGCGGAGCTAGCTGGGAGATTGTATTTCGTTCAAGAGACTCACGGTGCGCTTGATGCTACTAAGGATATCCTGGTGTGTTGGCTGCCAACCTAGGAGGGTGACAAGAAGGTATGTTCGGGCAGCGTAGGCCCAAATCTTTGTGACACGGACATGGATATCTGACGAATAGAGATCGTGAACCTGGCAGCGGTTCGAGTCTCTCAAGACCGACTCCAGTGGTCCGTATAGTCCGGAAGCTGTGTTTGTTTCATGCTGGTGCCGTGAATCATGCTGATCAAGATGATCCACATGCTTTTGCCATCGTTGATCGATTTTCCTGGCATGGTGGTGAAATTTGTCCATTACCAACTCGCCATTCTTCTTTTTCGTCTTTTTCCAAGCATCAAAGGCGGCAATGTCCCCAATCAGTTCAAACACCCAGTCTTGGCAACCAGTAACAGCTTGGAGGCTCAAAGTATATCGTTGGTCCTGGTCACTAGGGACTTGTTTAGATAGATATTGTCGTAATTCTGAAGGTTGCTCCAGACATGTACTGGCAACGATGTCGTCAACGACCAGAATTGCCGAGAAGAAGCGAAATGCTCCCTGCTCTGTGGTTAGAGGAGTAGAAACTGATGCCGGAAACGGGACGGGATCAGCCAACTTCTCTACCACTGCAGCAATATTCGGGCCTTCTCCGCGCATGTTGATCCCATGATACAGCAGGATCTGCCCTAGTAGATCAACTGCAGCCTTGAGGTGTACCTGCCATTCACTCGACATAAACAGCTCCCGTTCCAAAAGCAAGAGCTGTACAATGTTCGCCAAGAGATGTATGCCGTCCCGGAGGTTTGTACTAACGCCCTGACTTCGAAGGCCTAGCAGGTCACGCTGAACGCTTGCCAAAGCCACGTTTGTCTGGTGGGAAAGTTCTTGCCAAGTCTTTGCGAAGCATGCATTGTGGACAGGGCCAGGGATAACCGGGATGACGGAGAAAAAGTATGACGACAAGCTCGTAACACTCTTGCTGAAACCAAGGTTCTTCATGGCGAGCATCAGAGGCCAGGTTCGTCCACCCTCAAGTATAGCCGGTTTATAGAAGGGAAACATGATCGGGAACACGTATTCCATGTACCCCATCAAGTAACCCATTTCAAGTTCGGTTGTCATCAATGTGGGCGGAGATGCTCGGCCGGCAGTCGTCGCTTGGCTGTTGGATGGACCCGGGAGTGAGATTGGCTGGGTCGAAAGACAATTGACCTGGGACCTTGGAGCCTGCTCCAATGAATGACTTTGCATTGCCGCATCCGCAAGAGGAGGGCCTGCCTCGCCGGAAGAACGAGACTGGGGAGAGCTCGACCGAGGGGAGAGCTCATTGGGATTGTTGTGGATGGCCAGAGTCTGGGCGATATTCTGCATCATGGCAATGCCGCGGCGACGTTTTGCGCCTTGCTTGACTTGGGTCTTGATTTTCTGAACCATCTGCTGTTGCCCTTGCCCATCGTCCATCCAGTCCGGCCTGACATGGGAGTAGTAGCAGCTGATGTCCAGTGCTGCGCAAGCCCCACATACTGGGAGCACCCCGTCACACCACTTATGACGAAGCCGACAAGTCCAGCATGTAGACTTTCTTTTTCCTCGTGCGGCCGTGGGCATTGTCATTGGGGGGTTGTACCTGATAGGGTTGGGGTGTTGAGCCAACTTCAGGAGGATGAAAAAAAGAATGAGAAGCTGGCTCTGATGATGGCACCTTTGGGGGTAAGTGGCTTTAAAGCCCGCGCGGACTCTCACCCCGAGCGGAGTCCGCGCGGACTCTTGACACTTGTCCGCCAAATGGCCCGCGCGGATCAAGAGTCCGCGCGGGTGAGTGGAGTGTCCCATTCGTTGGCTGTGCTGAATGCCGTCCAACCACACGGATGCAGCGGGCGTACCCAATGCTTAACCTCCCCAGTGTAAGTACGGCCTTGTGAATATAAACATCCATATGAGTCTGTGGCTCCCTTGATCATGCTACAGAACAAGACCTACAACATTATAACGACCTGCAACACCGACCTGGCGAAACAACGCACCCAACATCATGAGTCGTACAACAAGATGCTGGACCATCAACGGTAGGGAGAATGGCATAGACGAGCTTTCGTTTGGTAGTATCCCTATACCCAGACTAGGTGATCACGATGTGCTTGTTAGGATGCGTGGGGCATCACTCAACTACCGAGATTTGGTCATTGCTGAAGGTAGGCACAAAATGCATACAACATCACTAAGAACAGCGACTAACATAACTTGAGGAAAATATCCCTTTGGGCATAAGCAGCCCGTCATAGCAGCCTCCGATGGGGCGGGAGAGGTGGTTGAGGCCGGGGCAAATGTCACCAGGTGGAAAATCGGCGACAAAGTCGTGACACTTTTCAACCAGGCACACCAGGTTGAGCCCATCGACGCTGCTGCTGCAGTGTCCGGCCTTGGAAGCGCCATCGACGGTACGTTGACCGAATACGGCGTTTTCAATGAAGACGGCCTTGTCCGTCTGCCATCCAATCTCAACTTCCCCGAAGGCGCAACCTTGAGCTGCGCCGGGCTCACTAGCTGGAACGCACTGTATGGCCTCAAGCCGGTGAAGGCTGGGGACACGGTTCTGGTGCAAGGAACCGGGGGCGTCAGCATCTTTGGCTTACAGGTAAGGACCATGGTTTAATCAACCTTGCACGACACCCAGTCTACTAACCGCGTCACATAGTTTGCCAAAGCCGCTGGTGCAAATGTTATTGCAACAACCTCGTCAGCTGAGAAAGCTGAATTTCTCAAGAAACTAGGTGCCGACCATGTCATCAACTACAAAGAGGACGTCAACTGGGGAGAAACTGCACGCAACTTGACCCCCAACAAGCGAGGTGTTGATCACATCCTCCAAGCTGGCGGGCCTGGCACGATGCCACAGTCACTCAAAGCCGTCAGGCTTGAGGGCGTCATACATGTCATTGGCGCCATCAACTACTTGGATCAGACGTTGCCGCCGGACAGCGTGACTGTGAGCGACGTGATCGTACACATGTGCATTGTGCGTGGGTTCCTTGTCGGTTCTAGAAGACAGATGGAGGATATGGCACGGGCCGTTGAGGAGTATGATATTCATCCTGTTATCGATAAGCGGGTTTTCGCTTTCGAGGAGGCAAAGGAAGCGTATGAGTATCTGCGGCAGCAGCGCTATATCGGCAAAGTCACTATCAACTTTGATTAATCATACCTTCTCTGTACACAGATGTAATACAAGCGATCAGCGACTGAGGTAGATAGTATTAATAGTTCAACTTTAGAACCAACCTGCAATGAATCGGCTTTTTATGTTCCTGCATTACAAACCCAGTCTCATATTAAACACATCTCATCGTATACTATTGCTGGCACTTGAATTATGCACCTCAAACGCCACCGTTTTGCTGATGCCGATCTGCTTGGGATCCATCTCTTCCAGATCAATTTCGGATGAAGGTTTCCGATTGTCCCTGCGGCTGATAATACGTTCTTGTGAGCTCGTCCGATCGTGATTTGTATCTCCGCCTTGTACTTCGACAATGTGTTCGCCTTGGTTCGTCGTCAAGATTAGGTCGTTGCCGCCTGTGAATTGTCGGCGTGGATAGCCTGGAATGGGTCGGCTGTGTGATGATGATCCGTAGACTTGGTTGTGGAAGACGACTTTGGAGGCGAGGATGTCGATACTGGAGCTGATAAGTACGTGTGTTTCCATTGAAGGACAGTTGACTTACAGCATCATCACTGGGAACATGCATTCCATGGCGTATGCGAATCGATCGAGCTGCGACGCGACATCTGTCGCACTCTGAGAAGCCGTTTGGAAAGAGTAGGTGATGGCCCTCATAATACCCAGCACTGCCAGCAGCGCAAGCCGAACCTCGGTGCTTCTCATCAAATACCGAAACAGACCAGCCTTAATAGCCGCCTTCAGTGATGTCGACTTGGCCGATCCGAAAACTCGAAGGAGGAAGAAGGCGCTGACACATTCGAGGAGGGCGATCAGGACAAAGTATCCCATGTGAAGGTTGTTGATGATGGTTTGCTCTCCTGTCGACTCGTTCAAGATGCGCCGTGCCCTGACTGCAGCGATGACCACGCGGATGGCCATGATGGCAACAATCATGATCCAGAATAGGCACGCAAAGATCACCCATTGTCGATTTCGAAGGACTCGGCTCAGGATGATGTAACTGTAGAATGAGAGTCCGGCTTCTTGGACCTGCAATAACAAAGCCAGTCAGTTTCCATCCCGTCTCAGACCCGTCGCAGGACATCTCACCATCCATAGCACATCCGCAATCGCAGAGGCTATTGCCTGTCCCTTGATAGGATTCGAAAGATCGTAGTAGGCATAGTAGCAGAGACCGTTGGCGATGGCACCCGCGGCCGAAGTAACGATAGGAACGATTGAAACGGGGGAGAAACTCGTTATGCCGGCGACCATCAGTCCAAAGAGGACGTTGGCAATGCCGATCGTGCTGAGGATGGACCAGCTCAGCTCATAGTAGACCTCGCTCACGTTCTCGCCTTGCTGTACCATGGTTAATAGCGATCGGCCGGATCCCAATGTTGGTTTGCGGCCAAGAAGATGGTTCACATGGTCGGAAACCCTGCCAGAGGAGAAAAAAGCAACCGCAGGAGGGGCACACCCCCAAGCTTATACTGATCAGCCCCCTCCCCGTGGAGTCGCTCCATTCTCCGGGGTACCCCGAACGTAAGAGACGATTGTCGAGGGATCACGTTAGCGAGTCATCAGTTGGATGGGTGGGCACGGGTGCTGCATCGGCAAGGGGTCCGCGCGAGTCGGTGACACATAGCAAACGCATCCTCAGAGAGTATCCGGATCCGCGACTGGCGCGCTAGAGTTGGGGGAAATTGCCACAGTCGAGATGGTTGGCTTTTGACATCTGAGTGGCTTGGCCGTTGGACATCCCCGGTTCCCCCGCCAAGCCCCCAACTCTGAAGCATCCGATGCTTTATTCCCGGGAAAAGAGGCTTGCGGAGTGATTAATCCGACGTTTGGTCTTGCACACGGCACGGGCGACACCCTGGTCGTGGAGAGAGCTGTGCCGCACATTGCCACGCACTTCCCCCTGGGGCAACACGTTTATTAAGATGGTAGATGGCTGCAGATGACCAATTGTGAACCCATCGGCGGAGTTCCCGAGTCTATGCCTCAGGGGTTCCCCTATGCGAATATTAGCTAGGGAATGTGTCCCTTTTGCATTGTCAAGCAAGCACCCATCCATCATGAATCACGAGACTTCGTGGGTCTGAAACCAGCCCCCTTGCTCGAAATGCATCGAATTTTTCATCAGCCCTGCTGTGTAGGGCAGAAAAAAACACCCTGGCCCAGTTTTGCCATGTGCGTATAGACGACTTGGTTGATCCAAGCTTCGTCCGTTCGCTGACGAGGCCCGCTTGACTAAAATGGTAATTACACTGTCTCCTCAGTAATATGAATCCTTCCAAAATGGATGTTTCATGACGAGTCAAGAATTTTAACCTTGTCATGTTGAACATTGGGGGCAGAGAAGGATGGGTCGTATTGTCAGACATCCTGGAACCAACAGTGGTCTTGTTGGTTGGTGAGGAACGGTAGGACATGGCACTAGACGAGGAAGAACACGGACTCGGACACTGCCCGAGCCTCAAAGCTTAAGACGAAGGATTGTCAGCTTTCCAGGTACCCTGGAGAGTATGGAAGTTAAATAGGACTGGGTTGTCAAGGTCCAGACTTTGCAGCTGGAGCGACCGACCTACAAAAGATAATAGTCCCTCGACACTTCATGTTCCAACCCCAGGGATGTAAGATGCCAAAAAGGTATCATTTCCTGTCATATTTGATAAGACGTAAAATAATGACACCCCGCTAATGGAAGTGTCATCCGAACCCCGACATTGTTTCCGCTAGTGCCTTCGCTTGGAGCGCTAGCAAGGGCTGACGTTCGCTTCTTGATAATCAGGACTGATGAAACACGCAAGTCGCGTGAGTTGAAGGATGTCAAGTCCTCGGCCGAGAAATACATTGCGTGTTACATAGTACACATGGAGCACTACAAATAGTGTTGCTATCGGTTCTCAAGTCAATACATCCAAAGCAATACCAGATCTTGCATCATTGACTGCCTGATAACGGCCTTCTTGCCGATCTCATATTGCTGTATCTCCTTGCTTGCGCGGTGACTACTTATCTCCACCATTAAAGTACTATCTAAGACTCTGTAAGAAAATATAGGAATACGTTAATCTCTTATCTCAATTTTAATGAGTATAGGAAGAGACTCATCATAATTGGTCTAGATTCCTCCTCAGTACCTGATGGTAGTCCTCGCGCAAGCAAGGAGATCTAATCCCCGACTTTACCATCTCTGGCCGATACGCGGAACGCTTTCCGAACACCAAAAGCCGTCTAGACTCCGTTTTCCCACATTATTTAGACAATTCTATTCGTCTGTTCCCGACAGAAGGATATTCGGATTTACTGCGTAAAAAATGTTGACGTCTTGACTCCGCAAAAAATGCCGACATATCCTGTACTCCATAATAAATGTTGACATCTCTGCACGATAAATGCGCATTTCGGGCCCGGCTTGTCTTGCCGATATTTAATTCTTTCCAAGCCATTCTTCTGCGAGATGCAGTCTTTGCTTCAGTATCGTCGGGCGGCGGCTGCTGCTCAGGCCCAGATTGATCGAGATGTCGAAAAGGCAAGGGGAAACCTCTTACCCGATACCAGGCATGAAGGAGCCAGTCAAGGTCGTTCAGATGAGGAGAGAAAGGAAGAGTCTACGCCAGACTTTTCTATCCTGAATGAGGATACCGTTGACATCGAAGAATGCCCAGCACCGGTGCAACGACACATGACACACGAGGCAATCCAGCAATGCCACTCTGCTGGAGTTGCTCTCAGCCAAGTTCTGACTGGTATCCATGTTCGAGATCACGACGCCAGGGGACATGGCGGAAAGGTCTTTGTCGTTGATTGGCAAGGCCCGGACGATCCATTGAACCCACAGAACTGGTCTCTTGGCAGACGCATCGGTGTGACTTTGCAGATCTCTGTCATCGCGTTATTCGTCGGTGCTGCATCAGGCATTGATGCGTCAGTGCTCCCGCAAGCCGCAGCTTCACTCGGTGTTAGCGAAGTTGCCGAATCACTTGCTACAGGTGCGTTGCGATAAGATCCTGTTTACACAGCAGATGTTAACAACTTGACAGGCCTCTATCTTGTCGGCATGGGTCTTGGATCCTTGGTAGCAGGCCCATTCTCCGAAACCTTTGGCAGAAACGCAGTCTATACAGTTTCCATGGCTGTGTTCATGATATGGATCATGGCTGCAGGACTTGCCCCCAACTTTGGAGCTCAAATCACATTTCGATTCCTCGCCGGATGTTCCGCGTCAACGCCGCTCGTCTGTTCCGGCGGATCCATCGCCGACATGTACAACAGTCTCGAGAAGACCTGGAGTTTCCCCCTCTATGCCATCACTTGCTTTGGCGGCCCGATGATTGGCGCTGTCATGGGCGCCTACATAGGTCCCTCAACAGCTGTGAGCTGGCGTTGGACTGAGTGGTCTATGCTCATCTCTTCTGGGCTCGTACTAGTGCTGGTCCTCCTTTTCATGCCGGAAACCTACGGGCCTCTGCTTCTGCAGTGGAAGGCGGCGCACTATCGAAACATCACAGGTGATGACCGATTTCGCTGTGAACATGAGATTGCGGATGCTAGTCTCTTCAGTCGGCTCAAAGTCAGTATGACGCGCCCATTCCTTATGCTAACTGAACCGATCATCATCGCCATGACCTTATACATCAGCGTCCTCTATATCGTCCTTTTCACCTTCCTTGTTGGATGGCCATACATCTTTGAGTACACATACGACCTCGGCCAGGGCCTAACCAACCTCATCTTCATCGCCATGTTCATCGGCACCTATATCAACTTTATCTCCGTCCCGTTCGTCTATCAGAAGACAGCCAAAGCCATACGATCTGAAGGCAAAACCGGGTTTCAGCCAGAAATACGACTATGGTATGCCATGCTGGGCGCGGCTGTCTCCATCCCCATCTCTCTCTTCTGGTTGGGCTGGACCAACTACTCCCACATCAGCATCTGGTCCGCCATTCTTGCCGTTGTCGTATTTGGCTACGGCGTAACAGGCGTTTTCATCTGCGTCTATATGTACATCATCGATTCTTACGAGATTTATGCCGCCTCGGCGCTTACTTTTGTCGCCTTGACGAGATATGTCATCGCGGGAGGGATGACAGTCGTCGGCATCCCCTTTTATGAGAACATGGGTACGCATTATACACTCACTATTATGGCTTGCATATCGGTCGTTCTTGCAGCTATTCCTTACATCTTGTATCTCTATGGGCACTCGATACGGGCAAAGAGCAGGTTTGCTGTTGTGAGGTGAGCCACGAAGGGAGTTGGCCTTTTGTTCATGAGCGCAATTTTCAACGTTAGTACATGCTGTCTACGCAAACTTGGCCTGTACGCCCAAAGATGGTTGGAAACTATTCCGTGACACAAGTATGGTGATGACTTATTGGAGATACTGAATAGAGGAATTATCAAGCACAATATCTCATTCTTCATTACCCGCCGATTGTGTAAGCAGCCACACATAAGAACTTACGAGCCACCCGGACCGAGCCAACAGAATTCTTGATTGCCGTGCTTTGGCTCTGCGGTATTAAAATGGTGATCACAACAGGTGCCGAAATAAGGGACTCATCTGGTGTGGCCATTCCCGCATAAACTGCCCAAATATTTCTGACAGCCATCGGAGCCCCGTGTGGCCAGTCATGCGGCAGAAGAAATGGGACAAATGAACGGCAAAGAGGTAGTCCAAGTCTAATCAAATAATTTAGAAAAGCTCTGAAGATGAGCATCAAATGATGAGAAAAGAAACTGCTTATTGAAGCTAAAATTTGTGTAGAATCTTGCCATTGTTTAGGAGAGAATTGCCAATGCTGTCCATCGTCTCGCTTTTTCGTTGGCGTGCGTGCCTGCGAGCCACAGTGGCTGGAGCTTATTGTGGCGGAAAATGGCCAACAAGGTTGTTCATCGAATCTGAGAGCACGGTCACGTGCGATAAGCGATAAGGGAAGAGTGAATCGTGAATCGTGAACCGCCCATCCCAAGCCCTTCAGTCAGGCAGCCACGGAGAATGCCACATTTCCAACCAGGACAATTCACATTAAATGTCACGGCCCACCCAGGAGAAACGCGACAGAAAGCTCCGCTTCTACTCTTGAGCCCTCATCTTGTTTATCCTGCCCGCCCGGACCGCCTGAAGGTGAATGAGAAGGTCATGTGACCTCGCCCCACATCAGCTTCCTCTCCCCGCCAAGCCCAGCAATCAACCTCCTCCTTTCATCATCACGGCGCGCACGCCCTTCGTCCTTGTGCATCCTCCGCTTCGAGCCCTCAAATGGGTTGACTTCTTTCTCTCTCTTTGAAATACCCAGAGTCGAGAGAAGCGACCTGACTGGCCTTGCAGAGTTCTGGAGGCCAAGTCGGTTACTTTTCCGTGAGACTCGCTCCTCATTCGCTCTTTCTCGTCACTCCACCTCGGCGCTCCATCGCGTCGCGTCGCATCTTCACGTCGCCGCATTCACGCACATTCGAAGAGCCGGTGACTCGCGCCACAGGTCATTAAATTCCGGCTTCTACCCATCGAACGAGCGCTCGTCGTCTCCTTCGCTGGAAGAACCGGGGCCTGCGGAAGGGGCTTGCTTGGTCTCGCAGAGTTCTGGAGACTAAGCAGGTTGCCTGTCAGCGAAACTGATCCTCTTTGTTTGTGTGTGTGATGTTGGCTCATCGAGGTAAGCCCCCTAGCCGCCTTGTTGCTTATGGATCTTAGGAAGCCTGCTTCGTCATGCCTTGATGTTGACCTGAGCACACCCGCCGTCGTCGAGTGGGAATGCAATGATGAGACGCATCACTTGGTCAAGCCCGACCCCAAGATCGACGATATCAGGCTAAGAATTCGCTTCTGTGACGATACTTCATGCGCCCTCTTCGAATTACGATTTCCTATGAACCTCAAAGGCATCAAAGGCGTTTCAGACGTTTTCATTCCGATCCATCCTCCCACAATCACCTCCCTCGACTTTACCTTTGCCCCGACTGCTCCGAATGTTGTACAACAGAAGTTCGATTGCACCACCCTTCGCCTCGACTTCCAAGTCAGCCGAAACCTCGAAGTCCTCGTCCCCCTTTCCGCAAAAGAGCCACTGTCGCCAACCCGGGCACAGTCGGGCAGAGTCCTTGACGCCGTTCGCCTGCTCTCCGAGATAACTTCCTTTCGCATCTACATCGAGGCCACCAAGCTACCCAAAGTCACGCTGCAGTCCATCAGTGATGCGATTCGCCAGGCCCGCCTAAAGCCTCTTCGCCATCAAGATGACCTCACGAGCATGTACCATGGTACGGGAGCCAAGGCTGTTCAACTCTGCGCTCAAGTCCAAGATGCTCCACCATCGTACGATGAAACCGAGCCACCACCTCCTATGGCTCCGATCAACGAGAAGAAGCGTCATCGAGCCGGAAGCGAAGACGATGCTACAAGTCAGATAGCCCTAATCTGGGCCGAGCTCAAGGCGACCCAAGAGCAAAATCAGCAACTCCAGCAACGAGTCGCGGCTTTGGAGAAGGACAACCAAGAGCTGAAAAGAGAAGTCGAGCAGTTACAAGCTGATGACCACAATACTGCCAATGTGTTGGAAGAACTCGACAGCAGGCTGCTTGAGTTGCGGGACGACCACGTCGACTTGGGGGACAAGGTTGATTTCCTCAGGGAACATGGAGTAGACAGCGATGCGATAGAGTCCTTTATAGAGAAGGTCAAGAGTAATATTCTTGACGACATCTCGACGCGTCTGTCCAGGAGCTGAGCCTGTGTCTCGTTTACAGCCGCTGGGCTGAGGTGCGCTTTTCGCCAGCCTGAACCCAAACACGTCACTGACCAATGCAACCAGATACACGAAGCGCCCACAACGACGCCGGGCCACACACCGAGAGATATGATGGCGCTCGGCGCGCGTGCTGAGCTCATGCCGCACCAACCCGCGAACGTGGCTCAAGCTCGCCACTAAGGTGCCCAGGCTTTGGGCGGTTTTGGATCCTGGTGAGTTAAGCCCCCATTTTCACACAACCTTAAACTAACGTCACTCAGGGGATTGTCCTTCCGTCAGATAGCCAGAGGTTACATGATTGATGATTTATTATAGAAATGCAGCTACCCAATAGATGCCAACTTCCTCCTTGCAGTCTCTCATATCCATCATATTTAACAAGGCTCAGACGTCGGCGACACTACATCGATAGGGAACCCCTGCAAGCTGTCTCCCTCGTACGCATATAGAGCATTTGTGAGCACAATGTCCAACTCGTGCACCGCCATCTCGAGCGGGTGGTTGTAGTAGTCATGACAGACTCGGGATTGGGAAAGCCCCAGTGGACCGATGGATCGTCTTTCTCCGTGTGAGCGGCGAATTCGTGGCGCAGGCCCAGTACGTGGCCGAGTTCATGACAGAAGGTGTTGACCATGGCGTCGCGGAACACAAAGGCCAGAGGAAAGACCCTGACCATGCGCGACTCGGCAGGGCAGTTTGGAAAGAAGGCCGCGGCTAGGGTTCTGTCACTGGGGGCGTCGCGGGAGTAGACGACGGAAAAGAAGGCATCTTTGCGATCAAATGACCGCTTGAATTGCACAGGGCCGAGGCCCCATGCCTGTGTGGCCGCCTCGAAGCAGGCTGCGACGTACTCGCCATCAGCTTTGGCCTGGAACCCATCTAGGTCGACGAAGTAACAGAGGGTGGCGTTGACTGGATAGCGAGAAATACGGCCATTGGATCCCAGCTGGGCCGCTGTACAGTTGGCGGTTTCATGGCGCTGCGTGGTGCAGTGGTACGTCATGTCATGGCTGTAATAAGAGGGACCCGGCGAGGGCAGGCCTCTATGGCAAGGAAAGGGAGAGCTTTGGGCTAAGGCTTTATGGGAACTGGTTAGCGATTGTGCTGTATGCAATCGAGTGTCGAATGCAAGGAGAGGATCACGGAGCTTGGTAGTCAAATACCACAGACGCAAAACGCAGTGAATGGGAAGGTTTCCTAAGGCAGAAACATGGAGGGGAGCAACAGGAGAGAGAAGACGTGGAGCATGTGCCGGGCTTACTCACCAAGCATCCCCGAGGACCCAGTCGGGCAGTTCTAAGGGGCAATGAAGGGTGTTGAATTGCTCTGGTGGGAGGGTGGTCAACGAGTGAGGTGCACACGGTGATGTGTGGATGGCTGGCCACTTCTACAAAGACGGGACGTAAAGATAACCTGGATATTTATCTAATTTTCACATTCCTGGAAAAAGAGCAAGCCAGAAAATCTGGAGGTTCTGATGCAGTAAACCTGGAGGTGCATGACAAGCAAAGAGCCCAACACGCAGGTTCAGAAAAATGCGACACCACTAAGACAAATTGTTAGCTCCTTAGGGTAGGTACCTATAAAAATATAACAAAATGCTAACTAAATAATATATAAAAAGATATAAAGTATTAGATTATCTTTATATTATTTTATTATTGTTTTATATTTTGCTTTTATCCCCTTCTTCATCTACTTAGAAGAGCGTACCTTAGGAGTTCTCATCATGGTACTCTTTCACTCACATATTTCAAACCGGGATCTCCAAGCCTTGTTTTTTGTTATAGAGGGTGGCTTTCCTAAGGCGACTGCAGCAGCGAGGCAGACTGAACAAGGAGGGTAACGGGATGCATGGATGCCTTGTCAGTTTATACCCACCATCCCCTTTCTCCTTGTTGATCACTGAAATTGCCTTTCCCGCGTCCCGGTCCTGCGTTCATACTCTCACCGGGGGATCCACAACACCGGCATGAGAGATTCTGGGAGCGACATTGGTTCAATTGGTTCAAGTACTTGGCAGGTAAAAAGCTGGAGGTGAAAAAGTCGGCGAACGGGGCGAACTGCACTCGAAGACGCTCGAGTCGGTGAGATGGGGAGAAGGGTGGTGGGGAGCGAGAAAAAAGCTGGAGGTGACAGCGCTAAGACGATCTGGTTGGTGAGGGATGGAAACTGGGCTGAACAATCTACCATTTTGGAAGCTACTTAGAAAAAGCTGGAGGTTATGTACTTTGATGAGGCTGAAAGTTGTGTGCCCAGGAAGATGCGGAGTGTTGGTACCAATAAAAATCTGGAGGATACCTTGAAGGGCCTTGGTTTTAGGTACCTACGCTGAAAAAACAAAAAAGACTGAGGTGGCCTGGCTGGAGGACTCTGGTGTTGGTCGCCCTCCAGCTATAAGTAAACCTGCGTCATCCGCATTGAGATGGTAGGCCACAGCTACCTGGAATCTTCAGTATTCTTCTTACATGAATGCTGCGGATGCTTCGCTATCTACCTTTCTCATTGTCTGACGCTGAACACCTGCTTCCGACTTCCGACCCATCATCCATGATTCCCCACCAAACCCTGCCGCCGGACGCGGACCTGACAAGGCACGTCCCGCCCCGCCGCGTAGCCGTTTGAAGACGCTGAAGCTAACCTCCGGACCATTGAACTCTGTAGTGCCGATGAACTCGGACAGCATGTCGCAAGCAGCTTCTCGCAAGCGCCTTGCTTGTTTGAACATGATTGTCTCTATTACCCCGACATCGCCCGCGGGCTGCCTATGTTTCGCATTGTCGAGTCCACCGACTCGTCACCATCAGCCCAGTGCTCCGTCTCAGTCCGCGACTCTTTCGGCGAAGGAGTTTACATCGAGAACAATCGTTCGGATGGGCTTTGTTCGACCAACTGCCATTGCCAAAAACTCGGCCCCCTAGACTTCGCTTTCATCGTCTCCAAGCAATCTGCCCACACCAAGATCGAAGTTCAGAACGAGGTACTCCAAAACACCCTCATTGATGTCATCGGTTCAGATGAGCGACACTCCCAGTGTGACCCGCCTGCCTGGGACGGCGCTCACCTCTTCGCTCGGTATGAGGACCTCAGGGCACGTCTGCGAGATGTTATCGACGCTCCGGTAGGAAGCATTGAGGCACAGCCCTTCCTCCCCCTCAGGCTACTGGTCGACGGCTTTCTGGGCCAGGAGCAGGGGGAAAGCTTGCCGTGCCCTCGGCATAAGGACCCTAGCGATGTCCTTAGGGACGTGCTGCCAGAAGAGGATAACAACAACATGCTAGATGTCAGGTTGCTCCGGGCGGCGGGTTATGGCGGCATCTCAGTTATCGATACTCTTTTGAGCAACTATGCCATCGTACCTTCTTCGCACAAGCAAATGTTCGTGGAAGTTTTGGGCAGACAAACCACCGACGATCTTTTCAAAGAAATTGTGAACATTGACGCATACGATAAATACGGAAACACGGCCTTGCTCCGCGCCGCGACTGCTGGGCATCTTGACGTCGCTCGGCTTCTGGTCGCTCGAGGCGCCGACATCGCCTGGGCCAACAACCGGGGCGAGACGGCCCTGCACAAAGCTGCGCGGGCAAATCACCTTGAACTCTTCAATTTTCTGGAAGAAGTCGGCTCAGACATATACGCCGAGGATAATTCAGGCTTAACACCCGCACATTCATTTTCTACCCAAGATCCCGAAAGCCTCACAACCTATGACGTTCCGCTGCCTTCATCTGTGGATTTCCTCATCCCATACAAACGGCCATGCAAATGGACATGCAAATGGCACATGATACCCCGCTGCAAAGAAACACAGAGCGAGCCAACCATCCACGACTATAGAGACCTATTATACAACACAAACCCAATTGAGGATCCCGACAAAGTAAAGGCAACCATGCGGGGCCTTTTCATCCGAGAGTACTCCAAGGTGAGGCAGCACCTGATTTTCGGCCGAGTGCGCGGACGCTTTCCCAACTCGACCCGAGCGTGGCAATTTGGCATGACGGCGCTGCGTAAGATCTCTCATGGCTACCTGCCGCATGAGCTCGGCATGGCTGTAGCTCTCCTCTGCGTATGCAAAGCAGTCTCGGCCACACTCCACATCCACAAACAAGATTCATCCGAATTCCAATTCGACGACGAGCAGTTTCAGCGAGACCTGCCGCGATGGCTTCCTCTGTTCCACGGTGCTGACCGAAAGTTGTTCAAAACTGCGGCGCAGGACATCTGGGGCGTTCACAGATCTACGTGGACTTGGTACACGCCTCAGACTCTGGACTACCACGACCTATTCAAGCACGCTGAGCGTCTGACGTCGGACCTCATTGACGCAGTGAAATGTCTTTACGATCTAGCCGAGTTCGCTGAACTAGGGATTCCCGAACACGGTCAGCACAGGCCGTCTCATCAGGATCGGTCTCGCCCGAAGGATCCCGACCCCGGAGACCCGGGTATTGGGGCCTCGTCGCAGAAATCATTACTGTGGGCCGAGGTAATGGCTGGCGTTATCTTCAGTATATTGCTGATATTTCTGCTCTGTAAGTCCTGGCCTACCGATTCGTGGCGTACCTCTGGTTCAAGCATTGTCTAACCGACCATCTTTGTAGGGCTCTATAGTCTCTTGACAGGAACTGTACAGTTTATCGCTACAGACGCAGCGAGTTGCCACATCAGCGTGGATGTTCAGAGTGTAGCAAGGAGCATGCAGTCTCGCCTTGCCAACACTTTGACAGTTGAGCAGCCTTCAAGCATACCGTCACCCACACCTGGGCAAGATGTGGTTATGTTTGAACAGGAATTTGACGATGATCACCATGTACAGCCTCGGGGAAGCCCAACCTTGAGCCCCTCAAGTGGTGGTGTTCCTGGTTCTGTTGAGGAGAGCAGCAGGAGGCCGCGCCCCTTTGCATGCCCTGAAAAGCACTGCAGAGAGCGTTTTACAAGGAAAGACAACCGGGATCGGCATTTCAAGAATCATCATGGGCCGGATTCTGGGATGAAAAGGCCTTGCAAAACCTGTGGGAAGAAATACAACGCTCAATACTTGCGCGTCCACAGGTGTAACCCAAACAAACCCTTCAAGCGCCGCTTGAGAACGGGGCATTAGACACACAGGTAGCGCTACGTATGCTGTTGTTACTTTATGTAATAATATTTGCTTTTTCGAGTTGACGGTCTTCTCTTATTCAACATTTGCTCGTTCATCATCACAAAGTTACGGTTCAGCTAGCGTCCAGAAGTGCTATAGATACGAAGACATGGCAGCGAACATGCATCATGTGGTACAAATTGTTTGATGGTGACCCCTACAAAGGGTAGAGCTTTCTCCATAATGGAAAAGAAGCGAAGGATGTGTAGACACACGGATTGAGGACAAAACGAGACGCCAGGATATAACCCCGTGTTAGCATACTAGGATATAAGAGCTATAAAGGAATATACAAGTCAGACCTAACATCTTGATTAAATTAGGTAATTATTCTACTATAATTGGTCAAACTTACTCATATGCTTTGAGAAGAGTTAGATCTTCTTTGCCGTTCTGGCATCTTGTTCGTTGGCTCAAGTCGCGTAATGCAGATTTCAGCTCGGCCCCCACAAGTCGATCGACGAGTCTCCAGCGGAGCGATAATACTTCAACACCAAGCAAGTTTAACGACTCAAGTAGGCCGTCACTTGTCCCGGAGCATTTCCTGTAAATAGCCCATAATTAGGAACAATTATTCATTAAATAAATATTAATGTCGACCTAGATAAGGTGGCGTCTTAGTTGCTCACCTTGTGGCTCCCATCACGAAGGGCATCCATCCTTGTCAACATCACTCACGCCGTCCTATGCAGGATTCAGCCACCAAACATTAGTCTTGGTTTCACAGCCTGATTCTTTGTCGTCTCTGCCTAGATGTCAGCTTCTCATCTTCCCCGCATTCTCGACATTTCCCTCATCCATCAATTGCTTTACACGCCACGTTCAACGAGTGACTATGGCGCTTGGACTCTGGGACAAGCTCACGAAAAAGCTCAAGAAGAAGTTTGGGGGCTCGGATTCTCAAGATGAACCCGCGTCGAAGAAACCCTTCACGGCACAGTCGACGACTCCAGCTCGTGCCACAAGCTCTCCGCCGACAACTTCAACAACGACGACAACAGTGACGGGCGTGATTGCACAACCGGAAACTACGTCAACTGCCAAATCGGCGGCTTCTTCGATAGGCAATTCACTAATACCACCAACATCGCCAGCAGCGCCCTCGGCCAGCCCGCAATCAGCCCAGTCGACAGCGTCGTCAACAGTTCGTTCAACGACCCAGCCGGTGGCCTCGTCGACAACGCAATCAGCAGCCCCTTCGACAGCCCAGCTGACATCCACTTCTCCGCTACCGTCTTCATCAACAATTCAGCCTACAGCCTTGAAATCGACCCAGCCGTCGACATCGCCAACAGCCCAGTTGCCAGCATCGCCAGCACCACAACCAGTAACCTCCCCACCAACACAATCGACAACCTCGCCCTTACTATCGAAGACCGTTACTCCGAGTGCATCACAAAATCTCCCTGAGGAATTATGGAAGAAAGCATACGAAGCCCTCAAAACCGACAAACCCGCCAGGGTTCAAGCATATGAGGAAATCCTCTCCAGATTCCAGGAGGAATGGGTTCAAACTGAAACTCCCCCCGCTGTCCTGGACCTGAAACACTGCAAAACCACCGAGTCAGCTGAGATGTGGAAACTGGTCTACGCCGGCTTGGACAGGTCCAAGAAACAGGCGGAATTCAAGGAAGCTGTTGCAGATGTGCTCGGGACCGTGGACAAGATCAAGGGCATTGTGGACAAGGCCGTTAAGTACTCGCCTGAGGCCTCTACTATCTGGGCCGGCGCATCTCTTGGTCTAGAAGTAGGTTTACGCAGTTGCTTATTCCATATACATGCTAACGAATTGCTAGATCCTCGCAAATCCAGTCACAGAACCGGGCATCAACCGCAAAGGCATCGCTTACGTCTTGTCGAGAATGGAATGGTACTGGAACCTAGCAGACATTGTGCTTGACAAAGAAATAGCCAGCTCATCATCTGCCGATCTGCGAGGAAACCTCCAAAAGCATGTAGTAGATCTCTACAAGAAGCTCCTCTTATTCCAGATGCGGAGCGTTTGTCTATACGACCGCAACGGAATATCTGTCGTCCTTAGGGATGCAATCAAGCTGGATGACTGGACTGACAAGATCAAGGAAGTCAAAGACGCAGAGACACTCATCCAAAAGGACTTGGACCAGTTTACCCACCAGGATATGAGGGTTAAGCTCAAAGAGATCCGAGACATTGCTTGGGCCCAAGAGCAATTATTCAGGCAGGAAGTCACGCGGCTTCAGAAGATGGAACAGGACAATCGCGACCGAGAGTGTCTGGCGAAATTGCTGCTCACTGACCCCCAGAAGGACAAAGAAAGGATCCAGACAACCAGGGGAAACCCGCTCTGGGACTCATACCACTGGATTCTGGAACACCCCGGGTACGACACATTCACCAATGATCAATCAAGCAGGGTCCTCTGGATTAAAGGTGACTGCGGGAAAGGAAAGACGATGCTCCTCTGTGGTGTCATCGATCAGCTGGACAGGTCGACGGACCCACTCTCCTACTTCTTTTGTATGGCGACAGAGAAACACCAATCCAGTGACACAGATGTGATACGCGGTCTCATCTACATGGTACTAGATCATTACCCATCACTCATGCCAAAGCTTCGCACCGAGTATGACAAGACACAGGGCAAGCTGTTCGAGATGTCCAATGTCAGCTTGAACCTTCAAAATGTCTTGACCAATATGCTGAAGGATCCGATTCTCGAGGACGCAGTTTTCGTTATTGATTCTCTAGATGAGTGTACAACGGATCGACCAACCCTCACCAAGCTCCTTGCCCATTTATCGAGCTCGTGCCGACCCAAGTGGATTGTCTCAAGTCGCGTATGGCCCGAGATCCAAAAAGAGATCGGTGGCATCCAGGGGATAGTTACGATCACGCTTGAAGAAAACAAGAAGAGTGTTGCCGATGCCGTCCAGTCATACATCCGAACGAGGGTGGACGAGTTGGTCAAGAAGTGGGACGAGGAAGACAAGGACAACGAGGGTGATGACAGCGAGAACGACAACGACAACGACGAGATTAACAACGAGGATTTGAAGAAGAGAGTGTATGACTACATGGTTGCGAATGCAGAAGACACATTTCTCTGGGTGGCCCTAGTGTGTCAGCGGCTCACCGAGTCCAATGTGTACAAGCATCGGGTTCTCGAAGAGCTTGAACAGATCCCCAAGGGCCTTCATGACCTTTACAAGCTCATGATGGATCGAATACTGACATCCTCCGAGTCAGATCGGCTGAAGGCGGTTCTGACTACTGCCTGTCTTGCCCATCGCCCTCTCAAATCAAAGGAGATGGCTGTTCTCGTTGAGTCGATGGAGCGATATGACGAGAAAGCCATTCGAAAAACTGTTCGCTCATGCGGCTCCTTTTTGGCGTATCAGGATCGCGTCATCTACTTTGTTCATCAGTCGGCAAAGGAGTATCTTCTTGACAAACGTGCCAAAGAAATTATTCCCCATGGAGTTGAGCACCACCACTTGCAGATCTCTTGGCGATGCCTCGATGTTCTCAAGAGCAAGAGAGGGTTAAAGGAGAACATCTACGACCTTGGTTCTCCTGGCACAACCGCGAGAGGATCGTCTCGTCCAAAACCTGATCCATTGGCTCCTCTCGAGTACATGTGCCTCCACTGGGCCAAGCACCTCATTGACTCGGGTTTTGCAAAAGTTCAAGACGCTGAGACTGTCAACAAGGTCTTGCAGTTTTGTCAAGCAAAGTTTACGTCATGGTTGGAGGCACTCTCCCTGCTTGGCCACTTGTCCGTAGCAGTTGAGAGCATTGCCAATATTGAATCAGCACTGGTGAGACCATTCTTCTTTGTAAATCCTTTCAGCCCGCTAACATTTTGTAGAAAAGTTCATCTGCCGCAGAGCTTATCGATTTCCTCTGGGATGCTCGTCGCTTCGTCCTCAACCACGCCCAAGTCATCGCAACGGCACCTCTACAAGTTTACTCTTCAGCGCTCGTCTTCAGCCCAAGAAGCAGCAAGGTTCGAGAGAAATTCGAATGGCAGGTGCCCACATGGATTATCTCCAAGCCCGAGATGCCGGAACATTGGGATGCTTGTGTCCAAACGCTCCATGTCCATAAACGGAGCGTCGGACCCCTCGCCTTCTCGCCGGATGGAAAGTTTCTCGCTGTATCTCGTGAAAAGCACGTCCAGATCTTTGATGTCGCACTGGGAACCTCCAGCTATCAGCTCAATTTTGATGAGTCTCTGGCTTCTGCCGCCTTCTCCTCTTGTGGCACTAAGCTAGCTATTGCATCACAAAAGGGGAGGATCATGATCCTCGAATTTGGTAAACTCAAGTGTATCCAAACTTTGGAGGATGTTGATATATCCGCGGTGGCTTTCTCACCAGATGGAGAACAACTGGCGACGATATCGTCCGATGAGGCCCACGTCTGGAATTGGAGGACTGGGGGGAATCCGGTCAACGTTCTACAAGGTCACGGGAGCTATACCACCTCCGTAGCTTTCTTGCCCAAGGGCAAACTGGTTACTGGATCCGATGATGGGACAGCAAAGATCTGGAATTTGGTTACTAACAGTTGCGAGCAAACCCTCCAACATGATGCCTCAGTCTGGTCTGTCGCCTGTTCGGCTAACGGGAGGCGCCTCGCAACTGGATCAAAAGACAGGACGGCTAAGATATGGTATCAGGAAGAACACACTGGGAAGTGGGTCTGTACCCAAACTCTACAGCACAAGCAGGAAGTGCCGACGGTTTGCTTCTCACCAGACGGCCGTATTCTCATTTCAGGCTCACTCGACAACGGTCTCAGGCTCTGGGACGAAGCAGGTGTCTGCATCAAGACACTCTACGGCCACACAAAGCGAACAACCTCGCTGTCTGTACCTTCAACCGGCAAGTTGCTGGCATCGGGTTCTGCAGACGGTACAGTGAAGCTATGGGACATTTTCACGGTTCTCTCACCCGACCCACCCCCAGCAGAGGAGGAGTGCTCCAGTTCCTTGGGTGACTACGTCTCTCGTATCACCAATCTTTCCTTTTCGCCGAATGGACAGATATTGATATCCCATTCAGAAGAGGGGGAAACAAAGCTCTGGGACATTGGAGAGACCTGTTGTGTCCCAGCTCAGGAAGTTCCTGATTCTTATCAGCCGTTCTTTGAAAATCACACGATTGCATCGGTCTGGCTTGACCACATCCGCCTTGACGAGGTGGCGGCGATACGAGATCGAGAAGGCGGAACAATGATTTGGAATATGACAACGAAGAAGCTGATCCATCGACTTGACGACGAGAACGCCCGAGTCCAGTCTTCTGTCCCTGAAGACTTGACAGTCACAGCGGACGCAGTTGATATTCCGGATCCCAACAGGGACACAGCGGGGCCGCCACGACATTACAAGTTTGGCGATAGATTGCTTGTGTTCTCACCAGACCATGAGTTTCTCGCCACGTCTTCTAATGGTGACAACATCAGGGTCTGGGACGCAGCATCTGGGGAGTGCCTCCTAGTGCTGCAGCATTCCCACTTCAAGAAACCCTTGGCGTTCTCCAAAGACTCTCAGTACCTATTTACATACGATGACTCCAAGACATGGGTGAGAAAGTTGCACAATCCTCCCTTCCCCAAACTCGATTCAGGTCAGACAGGAACTTCAAGGAGTAGCCTTCGTCTGACGACCCAGCTTGGTATCCTGGAGGCTGTGGTGCCCGATCGGTTTGAAGACGTTAAACTTGTTGGATGGGGGGTAACTCTCAAAGGAGATTGGATCTGTAGAGGAGCCGAGCCCATGCTCTGGATACCCCCTCAGTATCGAAAGTTGGTCTTGGATGCCCTGCGAAAGAGGTTCGCGGCCATTTGCCCTTCGGGTCGTATCGTGACGTTGCAGGTTGCGTAGGTCTGGCGATTGAGCTTTTCAGAGCCAGTGACTCGGCGAGTGGGTTTGATTTGGCCAGGCATGTTATTCTTTGTTGCTAAATTGGCAGAAATTGTGTATGCAGAAATTGAAATAGGCCCATTGCCTGGTGGAGGAGACAATCTCTGACAGACACACCAAAAATTAAGGTTATTTTTAACCCTATCCCAAGAACAAGACGTCAACTACTGGCGATGCGGGGAATTCACTAACTTATTCTCACCGCCACCTGAAGCCAAGATTCTGTTGAATATTTTCGAGGCGACCTCTCATTCGTGCGCTATGTCGTTTCAATTGTTTGCCTATCATTTTGAGCCTCACATGGCTCTGGTGTACTTTGGTATAATACCATCTTTGTAGTCGTGGTAGTTGCGTCTTGATAGAACTCTGCCGGAGACAGCAGCAATGAGGACCTCAATATCAGGGCATTGATGACGCTTGTTCGCGTGTACCCATCTTCCCCTTGTATGAGCATTAAGCCCAATCGAGCAGCTCTATCAGTTGAGATAACAATGCTTGCAAGCCAAGATCCGGTGCTTCCGCCTCCAAGCCCGTAATGGTCCCGGCTGGTTGCTGATCACGACTACGAATACCGGTCAGTGTAAACTCAATTAAGCGGAAACTATAATTTTGACAGGCTTGATGATCCAGAGATCTATAAAGGCCGACATACCCTCCACCCGCGACGCTGGTAGAGAAGCTTATCATGTTGCACTTTCGAGTCTCAACTGCCGATCCATCACGCATTCGAGAAGCGGGGAACTTGCACAGCATTCGCCGTGCTTACACACGCGATACAATTTGTATCTCGGATGGCGCGAGAACCAAGATGCTTGTCGTTAACCCCGCTGGGCCAAGGCAGCTCTATCGCCGATCAGGAAGGTGACTTATGCGCCGATCCTCCCCCGCCTCGTGGCCAAGGCGTGCTCAAGCAAAGAGCTTTTGCTGAGCTTCCTGAAGTGGTTACCACCGACTGGCTGTGTATGTCTTGGTCGAGGTATGACGACATGGCGGGGACCTATCCCGAGCTTGAGAGCTCGTAAGCTTACTGCGTAGTACGACCTAGGAAAGGAAGCTGACCCGACGTAGCACAGAGTCATGATAGTGCTGGCAAATCAGATGGAGCTTGGCCAGGCTCATCCCTGGTCTTGGATAGACTTGGCCCTTCTGCCTGGTCAATGGCACAATGGTAGAGTTGCATGGTAACATGGCACATGGGGTAGATGCAAGCCGTGCATTTATAGTCACTGTGCTTCCCGGTGATGTCAATCATTCTACTACCCCTCTACCTTGCGTCTTTTACAAGCTCAATTGGCATCGCGAGTTCATCATGCGTGTCCAACAGCTTTCAGTTCTTGCTGCCTTTGCTTCTGGAGCGTCTGCTTGCCAGCGCGACTTTAACCTAGAGGCAAGGCATACTCATCGCAAGCCGCTTGTCAAGCGCAATGATAACTGGCCTCCGATATTGAATGACCACGAGACTCTACTGGTCAATTCGTTTGACAACGTCTCCATTGACGAGTGGTCTGACTACTACGGTCATCAGAACAAGCTCGCTGGTTACGGCAAAGACGCTGCGCAATGGACAGCGGACCGATGGAACGAGAATGGCGTGGATGCTCATCTGAATGAGTACCACGTGTTCCTGCGGTACCCTGTCAGTGCTTCTTTGCAACATACCAGTGCCAGCGGCGAAGTATCAGAGGTAAACCTCAAGGAGGATGTCCTGGAAGAAGACGACGTTACAGGATTGGATGTCATCTCCCAACAGACCTGGTTGGGCTACTCTCCTACCGGCAATGCATCTGCTGAATACGTTTATGTCGGGTAAGACTACTTACGTGAGGGAGACAACGAATGCTTGCTAACAGATACTAGCCGTGGCTCCATTGACGACTTTGAGAGACTGGTAGAGCTCGGCGTTGAGATCAAGGGCAAGATTGCTCTGATCAAGTACGGTGGCTTGTTCCGCGGGCTCAAGGTCAAGAATGCTCAGGACCACGGTGCCATTGGAGCCGTCATATTTACTGACCCTGGTGATGATGGCAACGTCACGGTTGCCAACGGCTACGAGGCCTATCCTGGTATGTCTCAACGAACCGCAAGAATATGCGAACATGGACTGATTGTTTTCAGATGGCCCGGCTAGACACCCCAGCTCTGTGCAAAAGGGCTCAACTCTCTTCCTCTCAACACACCCTGGCGACCCTACAACCCCCGGCTATCCCTCTCACAAAGATGCCCCCCGAGCCGATTACTCTGATGTGATTGCCAAGATCCCTTCTCTCCCCATCTCATACTCGGCAGCCGAGCCTCTGCTGAAGGCTCTCGACGGCCACGGCATTTCTGCCGATACCGTCAACCGAACAAGGTGGACGGGTGCACTCGACGCCGAATACAGCACTGGCCCTGCCCCAGGTGTTAAGCTGTCTCTTGATGTGGTATCTCGTGACAGTATCGCCCCGATTCACAATGTCATTGGTGTCATTAACGGTACCAACGCCGACGAGACCATTGTCATTGGAAACCACAGAGATACCTGGATGGTCGTGAGTAGACACCGTTTACCCCCTGCAAGACATTGATTACTGACTACTTCAGGGCGGCAACGGAGACCCTAACTCTGGATCTGCCATCCTCGTCGAGTTCACTCGAGCCCTTAAGAAGCTCCAGGACGCGGGCTGGAAGCCCAAGCGAAACATTGTCTTTGCTTCCTGGGATGCCGAGGAATGGGGTCTCATTGGCTCTACCGAGTGGGTTGAGGAGCACGTCAACTGGCTCACCGAGACGGCTGTCTCATATCTCAACATTGATGTTGCTGTCTCTGGCCCCCGACCTAATTTGGCCACTACTCCTGAGCTTCACACTCTCGCTACCGAGACCATGAAGAAGGTCATCCATCCCAACTTTGGTGGCTTCAACATTTCACTCTATGATGCTTGGCATGAGGCATCCGGCGGTGTTGTTGAGGTTCTCGGCTCTGGATCTGATTACACGCCCTTCCTCCATCGGGGTATCAGCTCCTTTGATGTCGGAAGCTCGGGCGGTCCTAACGATCCCATCTGGCACTACCACTCCAACTATGACACCTACCACTGGATGGCCACTTTCGGCGACCCTGGTTTCCTTGTGCATGCCTCTCAGGGTCAGTACCTGGCTCTAATTGCGTACCACTTGGCCAGTGACGAGATCCTCCCCATCGATACCCAAAACTATGCTGTCGAGCTTCGAGCTTACTACGACGACCTCGTCGAGTACACCGAAGGAGCGGGTGCCGATCTCGATCTTTCCGAACTCGATGAAGCTATCAAGCACTTCAAGAAGAGCGCCGATGAGGTCAAGGCCCTCGAGAAGATCGCCATTGAGCGCAACGACGAGATCCTCAAGAAGGTTGTCAACCACAAGTACCGCGATTTCCAGCGTGGTTTCATCTCACAGGGTGGTCTTCCCAACCGCGAGTTTTACAAGCACGTCGTCACTGCTCCTGGTCTCGATACTGGATACGCTGCTGTAACATTCCCTGGCATTACCGAGGGTGTTCAGTATGCCAAGGACGGCGACTATTCCGTGGCCCAGGATTGGGTTAGCAAGACTGCTCGGGGTATTGTCGTGGCTGCCAATATCCTCAAGACTTGAGCATCTTTTTGTGGGTAGCATTGCTTTGGTGTTGGTGTTGTAAAAGCGGGAAGAGGCTGGTTTTGTAGATGGGGTGGCTTCATTTCAAGTCAATCCTTAGCTTTACGATTTGATGTTAGATGATAATGATAGTAGTAGCTCCATGCTACCCTTTCTCGAGCTTACTTACAGTTCTGTCTTACATAAATAGTCATGCTGTGGTTTCGCCTGATCTTGAGAGTACCTAGACTGGAGGCCTCGCCAAGCCGCCAGTTGGTCTACCATGATACCACCCTAGGAATGAGGGTCATGATACTGTAAGCTCGTCGAAGGATTAAATTTAAGAACTACTGCGTTAATACTATGCCTATCTAACTTGAGGATATGAACCAAGATACTAACTTAAGAGAGAACACAGTAACTATGGCATAGTGGGGAGTATTCGTTTGAAGTCGCTGTTTCATCTGGATACTTGGGCAAATATTTATATCAAGACGAACACTGGGCATGGTGGAGGAGCGATAAAGAGGGAGAACCACTTCACAAATGATCCTCAGTCACAGCAACCTTTTTGTGTCATTGTATTGCAATTGAATAACGAGCTTTATTGTCACCCTGTTTACTATTTTGATGATTCATACATCTCCCGGACACTCCCCTCAGCATGACCAACTGTCGGATCATGGTGGCGATACAATCTACCAAAGAAGTGGACTATCCAAGCTGGGTCCAGCGGCGTGCCCTCAGGGCCAAAATCGTGCCAAGCGTGAACAGTGGTTCTCTTGGGCGAGAAGTTTACCGAGAAATCGACGGGGCATTCGGTGCAGGAGCCGTCAACTGGAGTCCTTGGGCGTCGCAAAGCCGTTTCAAGGGCGGCGTCTAGCGCTGATCTATATCCATTAAGTCGTTGATGGCGGCATATCGATAATGATTCCATATTCTGCCGAGATATTGGTTCATTGCGTTCATCATAAGCCCAAACTGACAGCAGCAAGAATCTTCCTTGCACGATCTTTGGATAGCTGGTGTATTCGCATCTTATGGTGCCCATAATCGTCGAGTGTTTTTGGATGCTGGCTCGATGAGGCCTCGTGAGCTGGTTGAGCGTCTCCCTCTGTCTCTCGTCAAGGTTGCCAAGGCGGCTCAGTTTGAGAGCACGCTGAACGTTTCGATGCTGGAGTAGGAAATTGAGCTTCATGTCGCCAGCCAAGCTGCCACATCCATCATTAGAAGGGCAAATGTTCCAGATTTCCGACATTGGATCGCCCGCTGGATGGAGTTTGTTACACGCCTCACAAACCCACAAGTCTGGGTTATTTCGCGATATTCTAGTCAAATAGCACAGATATTCGTACTGGCTGAGAGAATAAGTTGGCCCCTGGCGGAGAGCGAGGCGGATAGCATTCCAAAATGCTCGGCAGGTCACGGAGAGCACGTGCCTGTCGATTTCGGATAGATGGTCGATGACACACGCAAGTATTTCGATTGGCAGCTGGATAACAGGACAATCCAGGGTTGGTTCTGGTAATAGCGGCTTTGGTGATGGCCGCCTTTGTGAGAGTGGCTTTGGTGATGACACCTTTGGTGATGGTGACGATGGTGATGGTGACGGCGATGTTGGTGTTGGTGATGGTGATGAATCTGGTGACAAGACCGACACTGATGCTGATGGCAGTGGTACTGATGGCCGAGGTCGATAGACAATCCGCCTGACACGCGATGCCACGCTCTTAATCGTGGCTCCAGGCCAAGCCGCAACGCGACGGCATCGACAGCAGTGCTCTCCCATTTCGAAGTCCGGCAAGGTAATGATAGTATTGTTGAATGCTCGAGGCAGTGTTTCAGGGTCAGATTCGAGCTTTCCGAGTTCTCGTTGGCATGGGATCATCTAGACACGATGCTGAGGCTATGGCTACTTTTATATTCACAAAGCATTGAACTCGTGATCACCTCTCAAAGTCTCGCGGAACGTAGGTTTCTTCTAGATTCGCACATGGCCTACGCAGTCAAAGTTAGAATGCCACGCCAAAGTTTGTTTAACCAGTTCTTTCACGCTCTTGAGTTTCCCTTAAGCTTCCATTGTTCTATCTCGAGTAGTTCGTGGCCGTGTAGCGTAGTCGAGGACATGCACGAGGGCTCGTGACGCGGAACGCGAGCGAAAGCAGCATTCTGATAAGAAATGGATGAAATGATCGATAATTCTTCAATTACTTGTTCTTATTTTACGGCATTCGACAGGCCCTTTCTTGCGCTTAAGCAGTTTCGTTATTAAGAGCATTCATAAGCTCAAGTAAGTGCTTTTCATTCCTAGACTGTCAACTCTTTCATCCGCGAACGATCTTCGGGCTCAGTTAACCCATTGAGGGCCGGGCTGCAACTATAATAAGGAACAGATTTTCAACGCATCATAACATCATGACCCGATGTTAACACAGTGGCCTCATCCGCGAACTGATCCCGCAAGTCATTCCATTTTCACCCACAGCCACGTTCGCGGGGGCATGTTGGGGTAATAAGCGGAGATATTCGCGTGATCCTTCCCCAGATCTACCCCAGATGATGTGGATATCCTCGCATGGACGCATTGTCCAGGCTCTCTTTTGATGTCGGCGTGCGGTTTATGTTCGGTCGCCGGTGACCAACGTGACCCAATATGAAGACAATTCTTCAATTCACCGATATCTGCACTGCCTCCTTGTCCATGACTCGTGCAGGTTATCCCACGCGACAATGTGACATTTCGAGACGCGTAATACATATCAGAGCCAAGACAACGTGAATCCGGCCACATGGGCAGAAGATTAAAACCCCGAACCTATCAACCTTTGACAGCTGTCACGCGATGATCTCCGTTCGTCCAGAAGAAATGCAACCAATATCTTACCTCGTGGTAGCATTGATCGGACTCATCTCCTTGTCGGGTTAGGTCTCGTAGCAATACTTGATAAGCACCGACTCTTCCGTCATCCATGGATTCTTCCATTTTCCAAGCCAAGACGGAAACATCCACGCCAAGAGAGCAGTTACCCCCTCATTGGAGGCGGAACTACCGGACGTTGTATCGCCAAGAGGAGAGAGATCTTGGCGGGTGCATGGGTGATGTTGACTTCAGTTGTATCTGGTGGTGGTGACACAGAACTGAGAATAAACTCTTGGGAAATTTGAACACATGTATCATCCCGAACCAAACTCCCGGGGTTATTTCTGACTCGCCTGCAGACCGCCAGTGCTGATCCGGAAAGTTTCGGCGGTAATTGTGGTGGTACAAAAGTTCCAGTGAGGAGATGGATTCTGGAGCTGAAAAATCTCAGTGCTGTAGGGTCGTACAAGAAGGATGGCTGCGGATTATTATCTGACGGGCATACAGTATCTACAGGGACAACTCGCCCGACAGTGATAATTGCGTCACATTGGTTGAGCACAGCGCGACATTTGGAGAACACAGCCACCTCCATCATGGCCGAGAGGCTACACACCATAATCAAGCTTTTGCCACGTGGAGCTTGCATCCCAGTCTTGGTAAGCCAAGACTCAGCAGAGCGACTACTCTTAAGCTTAACATGATGCTTGGATGGAGAACAAAAAGGTGAGAAGGCAAACTTGATGTCGGTCGCCAAGAGCGGCGTCACAGACATCAGACGCCCCAGTAAGCAGCCAACATGACCCTCCTTCGGACATCAATTATGGCCTCCCGCCGCCGCTGCAACATTGTGATCAGCGTAAATATGCGCCCCGTAAGCCCGAAACAAAATGTCCCTCTGTGTTTGTTTCGGAAGTGGCGGCACGACCATGCAGAGTGGGAAGAGGGCTTACGCCTCGATGTGACACACGGGAAGAATGGTGCCCCAACCAACCAACAAACGTGTTCCATGTCCCGAACAATAAAGGAGGACCACGGCGTTGGGCTTTAATCTCTCCGTATTTAGAAACACACGAGAATCCAACGAGAAGCCACGTAGCACGGGAGAGAGATCAGATCCCTCGGTGGCTGGCCTTCTGCAGCCTGCTCTTGCATTTCACAGCCGGGGGATGCATTCAGGCTGATAGCCTTTTTGATCTGAGGGTGGGTTACAATCTTGTTGCTCGCAACCCTTGCTCACTCGGTCATCACAGCCTCCGAAAACCATCCACGATCGACATTCCTCACCTCGTCGGTCCAATTAAACTCGATCGTGGGGAAAGGTCTCCTCTCCACGTTGATCCTTATTACCTTCCTTTAATCGCCTAGAGCGAATCGCAGATCTAAACAGCTTTGACCTCTTCCCCGTCCCCGCATGAGAGGGCTTGCAGGGCAGGGAATGGGGGTGGACAAACGCGCCGAGGCACATATCAGAGGGAGGAGACAAAACGGTATTCGGGCCGCCTTTGAGATCTTCTTATATGACGGTCTCATTCCCCCAGAAGTTGGGATGAGCTGTCAATCATTGCTCTTCTTTTTCAGCTTTTCGCCATGACGACTGATAGCACTAGAACGCCTCCGTCGGAGCAGGAGAAGCCCTCGCATGTGGACGTTGAGAATGTCTCCAAGCTTCCTCCCACGTCTGCCATCGATGCGGAGCGTGCTCAGCTTCTAGCAAGCTTGCCTGACCCCGATGCGGGGAAGAGTGATGAAGAACGCCGGGAAATTGTTAGTTACTACAGATGCATCCATCTTGAGCCATGTTACTGACCATCACCAGGACAAGAAGCTGATGTGGAAGGTTGACCTTTGGCTCATCCCCTGGCTCTCTCTCCTCTACCTGCTGTCCTTCCTCGACCGAACCAACATTGGAAATGCCCGTCTAGAGAACATGGAAGAAGACCTCGGTATGGTAACGGGCGACTACAACATGGCGCTCACCATCTTCTTCATCAGCTACGCCCTCTTTGAGCCCATCACCAACGGTCTCCTCAAGCGTCTGACCCCGCGCATCTTTTTTACAGGCATCATCATCGCCTGGGGCATCGTCATGACCCTCATGGGTCTATGCCACAACTACCCCGGTCTCTTGGCTGCGCGATTCTTCCTCGGTGTCACCGAGGCTGGCTTGTATCCCGGTGTCAACTATTATCTCGGCTGTTGGTACAAGAGCTCTGAGATTGGTGCCCGGTCAGCCATCTTCTTCTCAGCTGCTGCTCTCGCCGGATCATTTGGTGGTTTACTGGCTGCTGCCATTGCTCAGATGGACGGTACCGGTGGCAAGCCTGGTTGGGCTTGGATCTTCATCCTCGAGGGTCTGGCGACCGTTTTCATTGGCATCTTTTGCTGGTGGATGGTCTTTGACTGGCCTGATACTGCCCGTTTCTTGTCAGAGGATGATCGCATCCGTGTTCAACGCCGTCTGATCATGGACCGTCAGGGTCGAACCGCTGAAGACTTTGACAAGCGATACATCTGGGCTGCTTGCAAGGATTGGAAGACGTACGGGTACATGGTCATCTACATGGGCTCTTTGATGCCTCTGTATGCCTTCTCCCTCTTCCTTCCCACTATCCTTCGTGGCATGGGCCACGTCGGTACGCGCGCGCAGCTCCTTTCTGTGCCTCCGTATGCGTGCGCGGCGTTGGCCACCATCTTTGTTGGTTTCACGGCAGATCGGACCAAATGGCGAGGCTTCTGCAACATTGGTACTGTGTGCGTGGGCATCATTGGCTTCATCATGTTGCTGGCCAGTGACAAACCAAAGGTTCAATACGGCGCCGTATTCCTTGGAGCAATGGGTAAGTCTCACACCGTCTGATGTCGCAACTTTGCTAATCTCTTGCAGGAATCTATCCGACCGTGTCCAACACTGTGTCTTGGGTGAACAACAACATCGAGGGTTCCTTGAAGCGTGCCATTGTTCTCGGAATGGTTGTCGGCTGGGGCAATCTCAATGGTGTCGTCTCATCCAACATCTATCTCGACCGACAGAGGCCTCGCTACTGGACCGGCCACGGTATGGTGCTTGCATACCAGGTAATCTTCCTGCTTGGAGGCTCAATCTTCATGCACTTTGCCCTGCGTTGGGAGAACAGGGCGCGCAGGAACGGCAAGCGCAACGCCAAGTGGGACGCTATGACGGATGAGCAGAAGGCCATTAGTGGTGATGTGCGCCCTGATTTCATGTACACGCTGTGATGACTCTATTGCTTGTGGTGTTGGGGACAACTAAGGCGTGGAAAGATCTGGTGCAAGGTTTATACATGAGGAACTTGGATATTTAAGTATCTACAGCCATTCCACGAGTTTTTAGATGCCCGCAAATATATACACAGTCACTCATACCTTCTGACGCGAGACGTGGGTGGGCTATAACCCGCATATCTCCACACCGTCCCATCGAATCCTCTCACTACAGTGGTTGATCACAACCACCCATCTTCCGTAGTATAGTGGTCAGTATGCAAGCTTGTCATTTACAATGCGCTTGAGACCCGGGTTCAATTCCCGGCGGGAGAGTCGCCACGTGAGTAATAACTCGCGATCATCTTTTTTTGGTGTTGTCGTCGACGTTGTGGTGAAGTTGTGGCAATGTTGCCATGGTTGTGGGAGGCATTGCCTTTCCTGCCATAATTCAGAATAAGTATTCATATTGAAGAAGAGCCTAAGAAACAATCAAGGAAGCATTGTATAATAATAACATATTTTTATTTCAGTCTGACCTTTCCTGCTGAGAGGTCGGTACCACTTGTCTATATATCCCAACACCACTACTAATAACGCCGCAGATCCCAATAAGACCCTCGTTTATCTGTATTAGCCCAGCCGCCGACGATGAGATTCCCAAGTCACACAGATTTGATAGAAGCTGAAACTTGTCAACGGTGTATTTACTAGTATCCGGTTTTGCATCAGCACGCAGCGACACCCAGAGCTCGGCCAAAGCACTCACCAACAACCATCTGCTTTGGTATCCATGCCATCCTTGTCTTTCTGATACCGTTTCATTCGATGGAAGGAGTAGAGTTGTGAACAGAGCCCGCACACTACAGCGCTGAACCAGAACCGGGCGGCTTGCAGAGTTATGCGCCGCGAGCTCTTCCAGGGATAGAGTCCCAGGCTGTCCAGTATGGTCGCGTTGTCCAAAACCAGATATGCAGCCAAGAGTAGATGACGAAGAAGCGAGATGTAGTGGAGGAAGCAATCGTGATCCATGCTGTTGGATGAGGCGCTGGCGGCCTTGGTGACGGTCTGGATTTGTTCCACACTCCGTCCAGCGCGTAGCACCTTTCGCGTAAGTGCAAGGCGACTCATAAAGACCATCCATCGCTCTTTGGCAAGAACCAGAGGGCCGGGTCTCGTCAAATTCCAAATCCTAAACCGCGCATAAAATTGAAATAGGCGTAGGAGCTTATCTCGACCCACGACGGAGGACGACAGTCTCACAAAGTGGGAGATGCATGGGTGAAAGATGAGTTTATGGACCATCGTGGGAAGGTTGGAGAATTCAGCAGGGAGTACGGATTGATCGAGGAAGAAAAATACTATCTGGGCGGTGCCGAGATGTCAAGACCTCATCATCTAAACCATACTGTACAGGAGTAGTCCATGCATCGGTAGCTTCCGAACACCTCTCGGGGGCGGTTAGTCGGGATCCGGAGGTGGGCCGGGGGCGACTCGGAAGAATACGAAGAGTGTCGGATCACTGTCCGGGTTCAACGCCAGCAAATACCGCGGCAACTGGCTTCACAGTGAATGGATAAGATGTTACCAGTGACTGCATATATAAAGTCGTAGCTCACACTTTCGTCCAAGACTGCCTCGAACAAATCGTCCACCCTTAGGCTCCTGACAGTACAACTCACACAATCGGCTTTTTACCCCTCTCTCACCATGCTTTCCCACGACTCCGAGATCATCATCGTTGGAGGTGGTGTTTTCGGCCTGAGCAGCGCTTTATGGCTCGCGCGCGGTGGCTACAGAAACATCACCATCTTCGACCGATGTGCCTTTGACAAGAACGGATATGACCCTTCAAGGGGCTGCGATGGCGCTTCGGCAGATATCAACAAGGTCTTTCGCATGGCTTACGCTGAGAGGACAGAGTAAGATAGCCCTTATTATTTACTTTGAATGGATAGGAATACCAACATTAATTCCTTAGCTATCAAGACCTGGCCATCGAGGCGAGAAATTTCTGGCTCTCGTGGAACAAGGCAATCACCGAGGCCAACAGTACCGATCTTCCAGAGGGTTTGACTCCAGAAGACAAGCTCTTCTACATCTGCGGATCATATTTCCTCGCCGAGGGTCCAGAGCTGCGCGACTACTATGCAGACAGTCTGAAGACGATGGAGAAGACGGCGCCAGAATTCCGCAAGATGCAATTTGTCAAGGTATGAACTCTGGCGATTCTCAACCTATTGACTGATATCTTTTGAAGGGAAACACCCAAGACGAGAAAAGGCTGGGGCAAATTGATTCCAAGTGGGTTGAAAAGTATCACATCATTGACAGGATCAACGGCGGGAACACCAATGGCTTCATCGACATCCAGGGAGGCATTACCATCGCTGACAAGGTAGGTCATCCTAGAACTAGGCATTTCTGCTTTTCAATAATTTCCAACCTCATGACTGTAGGCTTGCATCTATGCAAAGTTCCTCTGTGAGCAAGTCGGAGTCAAGTTCGTCCTGGGCAATCCCCAGGGCAAGCTCTCCAGCCTCATCGTCGAGAACGACGGCTTGAACAAGAGGGTGGCTGGAATCAAAACGTGTGATGGGCTTCGTCACTTCGGAGACTTGGTCATCGTCGCTGGTAAGTAGATTCACTTCTCTTCGGGCCTGTTCCCCAAGACTAAACACACATCAGCTGGCAGCTGGACTGCATCCATCATTCCGGAAGCTCACCAGACTGTCGAGGCAACTGCAGGAACTGTCATGTTTGTCGACATTCCAAAGCACCGACAGGACCTCTGGAAGAAATTCCACCCTGACAACTACCCCGTCTGGTCTTATCGCAGGGGAGAAGGGGAAGAGTCTGTGCACTCTCTCTTCACCCAAGACATTGTGCTGACCCTCATGCTAGTTACTACCAAGGCGGCGGATTCCCCATCTCCAAGGAAGGGAGACTCAAGTTTGGCTTTCGGGGCCGTAAAGTGAGTTGAAGCCATGACCGTCCCGTACTTCGTTGCTTACATGCGTGACAGTTCACCAATTTCCAAGCTCACCCAACACAGCCAGACCTGTAAGTCCAGCACCTTGGCGCTCATGAACACAGACTAACATGTTACAGCCGTATTTCCACTCCACGAACAAAGTACACGGAGAAGCGCATCAACACGGTGCCTCTGTACGGCCTTTCGCGGATGAAGGAAGTCATTGCTCAGGCATTTCCTGAGTTGGCCGAGTTTGGTTTTACAGACAGCAGAGTGGGTGCAACGCTGGAGACTGTCGATCGGATCAAGGCTGATGTGGCCAATTTAGCTATGCTGGTACACTGACAGCATTGACAACGACGTGGGTGTTCTGCCAATCCACGCCCCTGTGTTTACTGCTAACAGTCGTAGTACGTGATTGATTACGTGCCGGGATATTCCGACTCCCTCTTCATCTGCACAGGAGGCTCGTGAGTTTCCACATCCTTATCGTCTTGCATAGTTAGCCATCATTTGCTAAGTACCTTGCAGTGGACATGCCTTCAAGTTTCTCCCAGTGCTCGGAAAGGTAGGCGTCACAACATCTAGTTTCATAATAGCACCATATGCTAACACGTCCATTCCAGCATGTCAAGAATCAAATCGAGCGCGTCCCTGACCAGTTCACACCTGTCTGGAAGTGGCGAGTTGCCCAGCAGGGCAAGCCGAACAACGGTTTGTCAGAGGGAGAGGATGGCCCGAGAGAGATGTCCAAGCTCGAGATGGCTTCAGGTAGGTGCCTCTGAATCAGCGATTAACTTATCGTGTGCTGACTGGCTCCGAATAGCGCAGGATTTCAAGATGAAGCGGGTAAGGCCAATTATGCGGCAAATGCTAAGCACAAAACTGACTGTGACATAGGCTACTATGCAGAAGCTGTAAGTCGTTTAACTTTGCAACCAATCTGGAACCACATTGGTGCTGCCTTGGCAATCGGACGGGGGCAAAGGGCGATGTGACCTGTATATTTGATAGTACTACTAGACTTCGATAAAGACAAATTCTCTCAATAGTCTGGGTGCGTCGCAAAATCACTTATAAATCCTGCCAACAGCCCATCAACTCCATCCAACACTCCAGCTTCCGCCATGTCAGTTAACCAATGACTCCAGTTGTCATCATCCTCAATCTCAACCCCGCCTAACGGGGGAGCCGGGCTTGGGGCTGAGCGACTCTTGTTGATCACCATGGCGATAGTACGATTTGCAAGGGCTTCAAAGGTATCGCGGTAAGGCGCCGCACTTTGCCAACCCTCAGCAATCGCCACCAACACCATTGTGCAGTCGGTGCATGTTTTGCTGACATCCTCCGGGCGGACAGACTCCAAGACTGTAGGATACGTCCACAGACAATGCAAGTATGTCAAACCAGATAAGAAAAGACAGTGAAGGGTCCCCCACGTATATCTAACTGCTGTCCCTATATAGAGCCGACGGTAAGATTGACAGATGTTCCTGGAAGCCTGGATACACTCCTCAAAAACCTGTCTGTTTGAATCTTTATACTCTGCTAATTGGCCCCTATACAAGAGCATCATGGTGTAGCTGTAGTTAAGTTCATACCAATTGCTTATAGAGAAGATGGACAGATCATCATCTTGCCTTGGCCGTGAAGGTGGAGCTTCAGCCAGCCAGGTGTCCAAGTCTGCCCGTAACTCTCTGATGCGTGGATGGCAGGCACCATGTTCGACATCTGGGCGTGAGGCGCCTGAAAACAGCGAGGTGTGTATTTGGGCCCAGATATGTCGTAGTTTGAACACGTGGATGGCAGTGGACATTGTTGTCGCTGGTTGGCTGTGGTGAGTTCGAGGCGGACTGGTGATGCCAGCTTCAGTTATGGCAGAGTCGTCAACATCTGACGGATACTTCGCATTTCAGGTGTTTAGTATGAGGCAAATACTGACGAGGTGCAAGATTTGTGTTACCTCGGCATCGATCTCCTGAATTGGGATACCCAGCGGCCGTCCCAGCCTCAAGGCCACGGTGCAGTCAATTCCATTCGCAACCCAGAAGACTCTTCTGCGCATTTCTTGTTGAAGTGGGTTTGCGGTGGGTGCAAGACGCTTGATGCCTCGGTGATAGCCCAGTTCGATGCATTGACGAAGTGCAAGGCCGGATAGCTTCCTGATTTCTTCGTCAGCGTCGTGTCAATCAGGCTAACCCGGTATGTCGCTTATACCAGAGGGATGGTCCGTCCATCGAGCGAAGAGAATACATAGCATAACATAGTAGGGCTTGAATGGACTCGAGGTTGTCCTTGGATAATATGTCGGTAAAGAGCTGGGCGGACATGTACAATTGCTAGCAAGACGTTATCAACTCCGGGCGCATGTCTCGGGTCAGGAATTGAGGCTTACCTCGGCCAGAGACTGAGTGTTCGGCAAGAGAAGAGATGCAACGGCGTACACCTGCCATGCTGTCAGCCCCAAGCTTGACTGCGTATTGGTGCAGGATCTTACCATATTAAGGAAGAACAATGGCGACGAAGAAAATCCTATTTCGGTCACGTCATGAGATGAACCATAGTGTCTTGCCTCCCAAGCTCTAAAGGTCGGTTCATGCAGAAAAGGATACTGTGGGTGGATATGCTTGAAATAGGCATTGCTAAGCGTCAGAGCGACCTCGTAATCTGGCAAGAGGCAGGGAGACGGCGGCGATGCATGCCTATTGCTGAGGCTAGCCAGTGTAGGTTCACTGGGCAGGTCTCGACTGAGAGAAAAGTTGATGATGCGAGAAAACGCAAACGCAGACGATGAGCCGAGATACTGGGGTTCCATCTGTGTCGTCCGAAAGTCCAACATGCCCACTCTAGATGACAAGTCGCTGGTTCCTTCGCCCTTGTCTGGCGTCAGTTGAGTTGACGGGGTGCTTCCATCTACGGGGCCCAGTGGAGATTGTGTCGTGCCTGAAGAGGATCTGTCGTCACGGCCCTCAAGGCTGGCGACGCGGCCTTCCAGGACCTCTAGGTAATTTCGGGGTCTCGTCTTTTTGCTTTTGGGATCTTGGATAAGACAAGCTACGAGTTCATAAGCAATGAACAGCTTCATGTCTGAGTTGCGGTTGATACCTACAGATAGCCAGCCTCTTGCAGTTGCCACAAGCAGGGTTTTGATCATCGCACTGATTCAAATCAAATTAGCCTTGCTCGGGAGTTCTGGGTCCTTGAAGTCACCTTGAGTTTCTTCTCTTTGCAGTTTAGACATGCTTGGTGGGCTCTCGTTCCTAGAATCCGTCGCCGCCGGAGAGGAGGCCCTTGTCTTCGACTCCTGGTGTTTGCCTGGAGCATCTTGCTTGATGTCTGAAGATATCATCTCTTGCCATGCAATGCCAGACCCTCTCGCCTGTCAGGGAATCGAGGTGGATCAGATTAGAGATGCCAAGTCCATGCGTGCGGGGTGATAGCAGCCATCGGTTATCCAAGATATGGTGTGCCTCTTTCCGATTGGCTGTTCGTATTCTTCCGAGCACGATGCCGGCTAGCTACCTCTCTTAGATAACGACTCGTATTCTTCCGGTACGGCCCCGAGGTCTCAACTTAACCAAGATATCGGAGATGAGAGCCGTGTTGTTGAACGATGTCAATGCTGGCATATAACAGCGCTGGACAGTCTCTCCAGTTGCTGTGTCAGTTCAACCGCTCTATCATCACAACTTAACAAACAACGACAAAGAACACCAGAATGCCCATCAAGGAAATCTTCACCGAGTCAGTCCTGGCAAAATATGCCCGGACGATCAAAGCAACACCGCGAGATCTGATGGTCAACCGGAACCTACTCTTCTCCTGTGCTGTCTACGCTTTGGCAGGCCTTCCAACTAGTGAGTCTACCGTTCGTCCTTACGAGCATTCTTTCATGCTAACTGGCAACAAGCCTGGGACCAGGGATCTTCATCTGTCGTTCCGTCCCTACCCGGTTTTCAGAAGCAATTCAACGTCATATCGGGTGCAAAGGCTAGCGACATCCAGAACTTCATCTCCATCATCTACATCGGCTATGCTGTTGGTGCGGCCTCTTCATTTTTCGTCAACGACCGAATCGGCAGGAGATGGTCTTTTCGTCTATATGCTTCCATCTGGATCCTCGGACAGATGATCGCGACCGCCTCCCCAGGGTGGGCCGGCTTGTACACAGCACGTATAATCTCTGGCATAGGGATCGGCTCACTCAGTGTCACCGGGCCCATGTCTATTGTTGAGCTCGCTCCTGCCGAGATACGTGGCCTCCTTACAGCTTGGTACACCATCGCCATGGGTATCGCCTTGTTCACGTCGGTGTTTTGTGTGTACGGCATATTCTTGCACATGGACCCTGGCAGGCTCCAGTACCAGATTGTGTGGTTCTCACCGGCGATTTTCATGTTCTTTGCCATCTTGGCCAGTTTCTTCATTTGCGAATCGCCCAGATGGCTCATGATGGTGGACAAGAAAGACGACGCTGTCTCGACCTTGGCCAAGTTGCGATGTCTGCCAACCGATCACCAACGCATCGAGGGGGAGATCCAAGACATTGAGAACTCGATCAGTGGCATGGGCTCCAGTTTTGTCGGCATCGTCAAAGAGACATTCACCGTCCCCTCTAACCTCCGCCGTCTGCAACAAGCCTTGATCTCATACGCTCTTGCTCAGCTGTCGGGCGCCAACTCTGTCACCTCGTACTTTGTTCCAATCATGAGCATCATGGGCTTGGGCGGCGACACGGCTCGAAGCATGTTCTTGAGCGCCATGTACGGCATGTCCAAGTTCTTCTTTAGCATCATCGCGTCCTTCTTCTTCATTGATGCCCTGGGAAGACGTCGGTCTCTGTTTGTGGGAATATCAATGCAGCTGATCTCGCATGTCTACATTGGTGTCTTTATCAAGTTCCACCAAGAAGGCCCTGTTTCGTCCACCGCATCCCAGGCAGCCACTGCAGCCCTCTTCGTTCACGCCTTCGGGTACGCCGTCGGTAAGTCTCTGAAATGGCCGTCATGTGGTTCCGTTACTGACAAGAGTGGCGAGGCCTGTTCGTCCTTCCTTATATCTTCGGTGGCGAGCTGTGGCCAAACCGCATCCGCTCCTTCGGCGGAGCCGTGAGTCAAACCTTCCACTGGCTCTTCATCTACGCCGTCAAGTACAGCATTCCCTCGCTCCTGAAGACAACTGATAACTGGGGAGCATTCCTGTTCTTTGCTGGCTGGTGTTTTCTGGCCCTCATCTACGTGTTCTTTATGGTTCCAGAGATCTCGGGTCTCAGTGTCGAGGAGATTGACTATCTCTTCAAAGGCTCTTGGTTCAATGCCTATAAGCGTTCTCGACGAGGTCCAGTTATTAACAGCGTTGAGAGCGGGGATGCCAGATCATCTATTGAGCAGAGGTAAGTAACTCATTCTTTCCGTCCAAGAGAGATTACAAGTCTAAACTAACATGGAATAAGGGGAGATAAGAACGATTTAGTTGTTAAGGAGTGAGAAGAGGCATTATACAATGGATCTTGGTTAGAAGGGCTTATAGAGTCAATATACCTCTTTAGCGGCCATTTTTGAATTTAATTTGCGACAGGAGAGATGCCACGCGAGCAAAACTCGCCATCTTTTTTTGGTGTTTGTTGACGTTGTCGCGATGTAGTTCAGGTCGTGGCGCCAAGTTACATGTAAGGTGTGCCACACTTGGTGGTGGTCAGCCACCAAGATTGGGGTCATCTTTTGGCCCAATCTCGTCGTTGGGCAGAAATAAATCCCAAATCTTTCATCTTCAAACCAAGGTATCAGCCTTTGAGTCGCCATGTCGCCTTGCAGGTCCTGTGGTGACTTTGCGCGGGATGACGCCCGAGGAACTCTTGAAAAACTCTACAAGGCCGCTGAAAATGGCTGCATTTGTTGCGATGCGGTCCAACAGGCTGTCCGGAAGCTGCTTCCAGAGGCTTCGTCCCCGGAGCTTGAATACATACTTTGGACGTCGGAGAGACGGCAGCGGACTGACATGCTTCACCCCGAAGATTCTTCGCAGTGGGAACTGAATGTGAGGATCGAGAAGGAGCCTTTTGTAATCGAGCACGATATTCTCATCCATGCGGTTCCGGGTATTTTCATCCCACACCCTTAGGTCCGCTTCTTAGATGATTTCCTAACTCGCAACAGAACTACCTAGTCCTTGGAAGAGCGTCCCTCTCTTCGACGATCTCCCAACATCTACAAACTCGGACGAGTCAAGCGCTTTCGCTCTAGGTGCCCTGAAAGAGTGTCTGGACAATCATACACTCTGCGATAATGGAACCGACCATGGTTTTCTCCCATCCAGGCTGGTCGAGGTCCAAGAAACATCCGTTCGGGTCGTTGAAACTCATCAGTTGGACCCGGCGCAGACCAAGTACCTCGCCTTGAGCCACTGTTGGGGGCCTCCGGAGAGCATCACTGCGCAGCTCAACGATGAGACGTACGAGGAGTACATGAAAGAGATCCCAGCTGCAGCGCTGCCCAAGACCTTCAAGGATGCCATTGCCATCACTCGCAAACTTGGGTATCAGTACATCTGGGTCGATTCACTCTGCATCATCCAGCACAACGTCGGATGCTGGATAAAAGAGGGCTCGCAGATGTGTCAGATCTATGAGAACTCACTTGTCACCCTCGCTGCCGCTTCTTCTTCGAGTGGTCAGGGCGGTCTTTTCTACAACTCTCCAAAGATCGAAATAACTGGCACTGTCCCCGAATCCGGCAAGGAGTATCAACTCTTCGCACGGTTCAACTTTAACCACCGATTCTTTGACTATCCTCTGATGAACCGTGCATGGGTCATGCAGGAACGTCTCCTCTCGCCTCGGACTCTCTACTTTACGAGTCAAGAACTCGTGTGGGAGTGTCGCTCACGCAACGTTTGTCAGTGTTCGCCTATTCTGGGTGGCTTCCGAGCCCAGGTTGATGGGTTCCCGGACAACTCGAAACTTCAGCCCGCCGAAGCGCACTTGGATACTTCCGCTCTCGTCTCGAAATGGTACGAGGTGGTTGAGATTTACACCCAGCTCAAGTTGACGCATGCAAGTGACAAACTAATGGCTGTCGACGGCATTGCGCAGTACATGGCGCCATTGCGCGAGAGTCAGCACTTTGCCGGCCTCTGGATAGATTCTTTCGCGACGGATCTCGCCTGGGCTGTCGACACGTTTGACGATGAAAGGGGGCGAGTACCCGAGTGGCGCGCGCCGACATGGTCTTGGGCCTCTTTGGAAGCCAAGATCATTTGGTATGCCAAAGAGACATCAAACGCTCCTGAAACTCACTTCACTGTCGAGAAATGGCCCCAGCACGGCGAAGGAATACAGCCTTGGACCGAGGCTTGCCAGGACTCTCAGATCGTTCTTCGCGGTATTCTTGTCAAAACTACAGTGGCTGAGGCAGACATGGTGGTCAACACATCTCCTTGCTTGTACCAAGATTGTGCAGAATGGGTCCCTTCGGGCGACAACACTCAAGACGACGAGCCGCTGTACTGCCTACGGCTCCTAGAGGCCGAAGATCTTCTCTGCTCCCTTGTGCTGAGGAAATCAGAGTCTCAAGGCCAGACATTGTATCAGCGACATGGGTTGCTGCTGTTTCAGGCTGACCCAAAGAATGAGAATGAAATCTGGAATACCAGGGACAAGCCAAGGAGTAGATGGGATAGGGTAAAGCCCCGGGTTGGATTTCCTTCATGGTGGGTTGGGGGTGAGTTGACCAGTGTTACTATCATTTAAGGGGGCTCTCCTTTGTAAATTCAAGGGAACTCGCGTGTGCTTCGCTTTTATTCGCTCTTTAGTCAAATTGCTATACGAGACGAGGTAGCTCATATCTCAACAGCTGATATTTCTTGAACAAGAGCATTACAAGCTGGCCACGCGCATGTACTCATCTACTTTAGGGCACACCTCTTCTATACAGTTACATCGTTTATGGCCCCCAAAAGGACCTTGATCAATAAACCCTGCCATGGTTTCTTCCGGACGTGCCAAGACTGTCATTGCGAATCTGCTGGCTTGGCCAGGCACGGCCCTCTTGGTAAACCAGTCTGCATGCTGATCAAGTCTTGGCTCTGAATGGGACGGTGTTCTAGAAAACTTGGCATATATGCGTATATAGTGTTGGTAGTATTTATCGCAATGGTGACGAGCGTCTTCTTGTAAACCTTCTTACCTAGTCACGCTGAAGCTGAATTGAATCGGCATCAGTGATCCGTCCTAAGTTGACCACCAAATGCAAATATTGGTGCTCTGAGCTGGGTTCACCTGCTCAATGGAGCAGTATGACGAAAGGCATAGATCACGAATCAATCTATAAAGACTAAGTTCTCAAAAATAAATATAATCATCTGTGATCCTCTGAAAAGGTCAAAATAATACTGGCGAATGCGCGTGAGCGTGAACAGCGCATGCTCCTGGCACGCGACGCTGCAAACTACCCTATACCATCTCGGCTGGGAACAAGTGCAGATGCAAAACAACGAAAAGCTATCGAAAGCATCATGCAGTATCATACGCTCTTTAGAAGAAATCTCATTAAAATTGCGATGGGATTCGCAATAAAATAGAGATGTGATCGTAAATAAAACGTCTTGTGCGACCAAAGGCATTCGTCGGAGCTCACCAGCCACAATGACGAGCCACACTCACCGACCGCACCTCTTCGACAACTATGAATCAAGGTTATTTTGAGGTTAAAACTCTGGTTTAAGCCTGTTTTGAGAAGTAACTCGATGAATCGACTTTTTTACACGTCGTTTTCCCTCTTCTTTTTCGTATTTGTGATTTACGTAACCAAAAGTTCTCGACGTCAGCATTAGCCGTGGCTGCAACATTGTTGCATCACCACAAAGAACCACGACCTCACCAATCTCCACGTTCATTACCTTGACAATAGCCTAACATTTCTCCCCCAAATACTGCTGTATACTAGTTAACCATTTGTTGTCAAAAACAAGCCACAGCAGCAGGTCCCAGATCAAGGCCAAGCCGCGATCCCCGTGCCGCTAGGACAGCAGATTGCGATCTGTGATTGGTCAACTCGGCACCAAGCTGCCGCACGGAAAGCCCCCTCGGCATGAATCTGCCGTCCAAGGCTCACGTTTCCAGGAAATGAGCTCGATCAATGACGTCGCCGCGTAAGGGGGATGCTACCGAAACAAGCACAGAGTGTAGATGGCACGCGAGTAGCGTGTTGCACAAGGGACGGTTTTGATGTTGAGTACTGTAGTAACTGATCATGACGATGGTGACGTCAGGTTGCGAGTTGACAAGTGAAATCACCATCTACAAATGTGAATTTATACAAGAGCAGCTTCCATTCTCAAGTGTAAACTAGACAAGCTCTACAGACAAACTTCTACATCAAGTTGATTGCATAGTCAGCCTGTTTGAGGTTGGCCACTACAAGCCTCCATCCAACCGACATCACCAGCTTCGCCAACATGGGCTTCTTCAACAGGTCCAAGTCGCCGCACCCGGCTGGCCCCTCGACCAGGCGCCGAAAGCGCGTCCACGATCCGCTGCCAATGTCGAGACGACCAACATTCGGCCAGTGGCTCAAGTGCACCTGGCTGGATATTGTTACCATGATCTGCATGGGTGCTGTTGGCCTTGGTGTAAGTCAACCTCCAACTCTCAAACATCTCCTCTAACAATGTTTGCATAGGTCTACGAAGCGAAGCCTGCTCCCTCAAGATCATTCCCTGTTACCTTTTCCGACGGCGAGATTGTCTTTCCCGAATTCGGATACCCTCTTCGCGATGAGATCATCCCCATTTGGCTGGCCGCCTTCCTTGCCAGCATCATCCCCATCTTCATCATTCTTGTGATGCAGATTCGCATTCGATCTTTCTGGGATGTCAACAATGCCGTTATCGGTCTCCTATACTCTCTTATTTGCGCCGCCGTCTTCCAGGTCTTCGTCAAGTGGCTCATTGGTGGTCTACGACCTCACTTCCTCGACGTGTGCAAGCCGGATCTCACACGCGCAACCAACCAGGGATACAATGAGAAGGGTTTCCTCAAGCTTTACTACACACGCGAGATCTGCACTGGTGACCCTGATCAGATCGATGACAGTCTTGAGTCGATGCCCAGCGGTCATACCACTGCCGCCTTTGCTGGCTTCGTCTATCTGTACCTATACCTCAACGCCAAGCTCAAGGTGTTTTCCAACTACCACCCCTCCATGTGGAAGCTCATCGCCATCTACGCTCCTATTCTCGGCGCCTGCCTCATCGGTGGAGCTCTCACCATTGACGAATTCCACAACTGGTACGACGTTTTTGCCGGCGCCGTTATTGGCACTGTCATGGCCTTCTCAGCATACCGCATGACTTATGCCGCTGTGTGGGACTGGAGATACAACCACATCCCCCTCAACCGCGGTGCTCCATTTATGTACGCTGACGGCCGAGCTGAGTTGATCGATGCCGTCTTTACGCACAGAGCTGGCTGGGGATCTCATGGTGGAAGTGCTGTTGGACATGGATTCAAGGATGATAGAGCGGAGGGCATGCACGGAAATGGTTATCATCACTCGTCACACATTCCTCGACGACCTGTCGGCAACGATGCGAGAGCTGAGGATATGGTTTAAGAGATGGAACAATACTTGTAATTGTCACGGCCTACAGAATACCATTTTGAACGAGTCTTCATGTACTTTTAATCACTGGGCGGTGTCAGAAACGTCCAATTTCAATGACATTTTCTCCCATATATGACCCCAGAGAACTATAGTTTCGAAGCGACATCTAGATATTGTATCTCAGAAAAGGTTTGTTTTGCTAGTATATGCCTAAGCTACATCACGTCTTGATACTCACAGCCGAGAACCTGCATGGTCATCGCTGTGCAGAGCTATGCCAAATAGAGAAGGCTAAAACGTTTGATATAACGATAACTATTTAATTACCTTCCTATTCACCGATGAATTAATTCCTGCACTCTGAGAATATCGTCTTATTTTTACTCAATATCGATACGTTCGACGGAGTGACCACATCCCATTATCATCAAGCCATCAATATCCATTTACCAACAGGAGGAGAGAACTTTAAGCTCGCTCGACAAATCATTCCATTTCCCATTAATGCTTTGTCGAAACAACCTCCCTTTGGATCTTCGAAGCCCATGTCTTTCCTGCCTCGGTCAGGACGTGGCTCCTATTCACTCATCGATCCCGAACTAGAAATGCTGCCCATGCTACCCTTCTTGCTCTTTCTCTTCGCAGCGAGCATCTCAGCTTCTTCTTTAGCGATCTCGGCGTCGACCATAGCACCTCGCGAGGGTTTATGCCCGTTCCGCATTGCCTGATAAGGGTATATGATCAGCGACTAGACAAACCCATGGGATAGTCAAGCGGTCATATGACTTACAGCAAACCCAGGTTCATGCTTCATTCTTTCTTTGACGTGATCTTGGATCTAGAAAGAGAAATTGTCAGTGACTTGACGAGCCTTGCGCCATAGTGCTATGGAAAATACGCACGTCTTTCTCTGCCAGTTCATTCATGATCTTGTTCTTGTCCACTGGCTCTTGGTTAGCACAATACTCCTATGACCCACCAAGAGCTCGTCCAGGCATACAATATCCATCTGTGTTGATTTGGTGCATGTTCCCCTCCTTGTGAACAGCAGCAGAGCTGTAGTGCTGCTGGTCGCCAGAGTCGTAGCTTTGGGGGTATCCGACATTCGATCCGTGAGGCATGTTGATGTTGTTCAATGCGTACGCGTAATTGAGTGTTACGATAATAGGTTTCTTCAGTCAAAGATTAGACAGAGATGAGGAAGAGGAGAGCAATTGGTGCTCCTCTCATCTGTATAAGTACTCCTCATCAGCTGTCAGATCTTGAATACTCCATCATGTCAGCGTCATAAAACTCAAATTGTCAGCTTGGCGTCTACGGGGTAAACGTCATCCCATAGGGTTACGGATGGTGACAGTTTGCGGGGTAAGCCATTTTCTTGACTTTTACCAATAACCGAGGTGAGTATCGTACGGTACAGTATAGTAGAATTCCGCTCATCTTGAGCTGTCCGACCTGAAGATCGTAGAAGGAGGTGGTCACTGTTTCAAGCCGACTTGCCGGATCTTCGTTGGTTTTCTGTTCCTGACCTGCGTCACAACTAACTTCAGGGCAACAAGGGCGATAGCATCATAGCAGTAATTCACATTTGTTCTCGTCGCTACAGGCATCATTGTTGGTATCAAGACGGAACATTGAAGGGCCGTACAATCCATGTCGGCCGTTTCTCACCGTGCGTACGCCTGTGAAAAATGACGCGTCTCCAATCAACACCTATTAAGAAGACAGTGTGAGTTCCAAACCTGAAGCAACATGAGGCGTGTTTCAAATCATCTCTCTGTTCCTGTTTGCTCCCTTCTTTTCCTTTGGCTCTGTCTATTCGGCGTAAGCCCTACTCGGGCTATGGACAGCCATGACGGGTCCAACCTTGACAACAAGCAAAAGCCGCTTGCCAACGACGAATCGTTTAGTCCCGAATCTCTTTCTGAAAATCAGGCTTCGATTGACTCTCTAGCTGAACAGGAGCTTGTCGGCAATGACTATGCTCAGTCACTGCAAAAGTTGATGCACGACCCCGATCGATGGCATATCCATTCGACAGACTCAGGACCAAAGGTCAAAATCGAGTTCCTTCGCCTACCTAGTGAAAACCCGGATTCTTTAATCAATGCTATACGATTTAGTCCTGATGGCAAGTACATTGCTATTGGTGCGATGAATGCCGCCTACATTTACGACGTTGAGACTGGGGACAAAACGTGTACTCTGAGGCACAATTCGACAGAGGACACGTCAAAGATGCTGCTGGTGAGGGGAGTTGCTTTCACTGCTGATAGCAAGAAGTTAATTACTGCCTGCGAAGACTCGCTTATAAGGGTATGGGGTTCCAAGAAAAATGCGGTGGCTGCATTAGCTGATCGATGGCGTTCTGCAGGTCTGGGACATTGCATCAGCCACTGTGAGCACCACATACTCAGGCCATAAGAGCGAAGTATATGCCCTAGACATCTCCAAAGATGGCCATATGATTGCTTCAGGGAGTGCTGATCGCACGGTCCGGCTATGGGACACTGAGTCGGGTTCAGAAATCGCCAAGTTCACGTTTCCGGATACGCCTGTGAGCGTGGCCATCTCATCCAACCCTGCTATGCTCGTGGCTGGTTCATTAGACGGCACCTTGAGTTTCTGGCCTATTGAGGGTATCAAATCGGACGACGAGCCGAAGAATAGGTTCCAAGCCCACAAAGGCAGCGTTCATTCAGTTGCCATCTCGAAGCATAACCTCTTGGTGTCTGGTAGCGAGGATAACACTGTACGACTATGGCCTCATGATCCGAAAAATGGTGTCAAGCAGATCAAGCACAAGGTAAGATTCCAAGACAGGCGTGAATATGATAGCTCACGGGAATCATAGGGCATAGTAACCGGTGTGGACGTGACGAACGATGGACGATGGGTTTTGTCAGTTTCACCAGCACAAGAGTTGTATATATCAGATGCCGAAACTAGCGAGATTTGCACCGTCATCCATGATCATAGCCATCTGTGGCTTTCGTTTGCGGTTGCGGCGAGCCCATCTGGACGGCATTTTGCCACTGGCGGAGGAGGTGACTTTCAGGTCTGGTCTTACAGTGATAACTGAGAAGGTCTCGATTAGCAATTCGCTTAGTCGTCTGCTGAATGGCATGCCCATTCTTAGCCTTGGCAGCTTACATCGTACATGAAGTGCAACATAGACAAGGGTCTAAGCCCCAAGGTGTGGATTGCATCGCCACATTCTATCCGTAATATCAACCTCCTCTAGAACTCCTCCTTCATTCATTGTTGATACAATTTCTTCCAAGAAACACCATATTCATCCTCGCAATGGATTACGCGACGTTTACCTACACCGAAATCCCCCAAGGCGGATTCTTCCGCCTACTCAAAATCTACGCAGGATCCGCCAACGACCCGCTTGTGTGCGACCTCTTCATAGCCGAGATAGACACGGCTCCTCCATATACGGCTCTCTCTTACGTATGGGGTGATCCAGCAAAGAGCGCAGAAATCGTTTGCTCCGATCATATATGCCGTATCGGACAGAGTCTTTCAGATGGACTACGTCGCATGCGCAATGCCGAAGAGGATCGGATTGCTTGGGCTGATGCGATTTGCATCAACCAGAACGACAATATTGAAAAGGGTCATCAGGTTGACTTGATGGGTGTTATCTACGACAAAGCTCGAGATGTCCTCGTTTGGCTGGGTCCAGATACCACACGCTCTGCTGAGGAAGCAATCAGGTGCATACGGACCATCAACAAGAAGATCTATACAAAGACAGACATGGAAGAGTTCATTCCCACCAAGGAAGAGATGCCATATACCTACCTTGCTATGAAACCCGAAGGCGCCTCAGAGTATACAGACCTGACAGGAAACCGATACGGCAGACGGTCAACCCTCCCCTCCGTCCTCGGCACCAACGGCAAAGACCACATCGGAAAGCTCTTCAACCTCACCTGGTTCTCTCGTGTGTGGATTCTTCAGGAAGTCGGCCTCGCCACTGAGGCAACGGCCTTTTGGGGCGATTCAAGCATCGACTTTGCAGAGATTGCAGAGTTCATCTACAACACCAACTTCAAGGACGAGCTCAAATATCTTCTAGGGCCCGAGAATGCGGCACGACTGGAAGGTGCTCCTCTATACGGCTTATGGAACGTCTGGGCGACGTATGAGAAGGAGGGTAACTGGATGTACCGAAACCCAACGTTGAGGGGCTTCCATGATGCGTTGGCTACTCACTGCGATTTTGACTTTATGCTCGTCATGGAAGCCTCGCGGTACTTCAACGCTACAAACAAACTGGATCATGTCTATGCTTTTCTAGGTCATCCCAAGGCGAAGCGGCCAGGGTCGGATAAGGCTTGGCTTCAGGCAAATTACTTACTGAGTGTCGAGGAGCAGCATCGGTTGTTAGCGGTCAACATTGCTCAGCACTCGCTCAACTTTCTCGTTCAGGCACACCAGACTGAAGAAACTTTGAAGCCCGACTATGAGTATCCTTCTTGGATACCCCAGTGGGATAGAAAGATGCCATCTCATGCAGACGCGTTCTGGGAAGCCTGGGACGCAACTCTTCGAAAAGCAGAGCAAAAGCCCTTCAAAGCCGACGCTGACGGGAACAAGCTGGCAGTCTCGGGGTATGTCATCGACCACATCGATCAATTCACTAGAGTCATGGAGACTCCTGATTTCGACTCGTCAAACGGGAGCGGTCACCTCATTGATGTATGCTGGGAGATTGCCCAGCAAAAGCCTTGTCCGTACCCAAAAGAAAAGACCAACGAGGCCTTTGCTTCAACACTTGTGTGCTTCTATGATAGCAAAGGTGACCAAGCTGGAGACGGACGGAACCGTGTGGTAGAGCAATTCGCCGGCTATTGCATGCGCGCAAACGAGGTATTTTATGCAGCTCACCTCAAACCTGGAATTGGCTTCTGGTCTCTAGATACGATTATAAGGGTAGGTCATATGTTTGATCCAGCCTTCAAGTCGTACGGGACTAATAGACGGTTCTTCAACACCCATACCAACGGGTTTTGGGGTCTCGGGCCAAAGGCGATGCAGAAAGGGGATGTTTGTGTATTGTTATTCGGCGCCGATGTTCCGTTTGTGTTGAGGCCGACAGAGATACCTGGGGAGTTCAAGGTTGTTGGACAGTGCTATATGTACAAGTTTATGGATGGTAAGGCTATCAAACAATGGCGGGATCGGAATCTTCCTCAGGAGGATTTTGTGTTGGTATAGGTAGTATAACTGCGAAAGGCGTCTACTCTATATTATACGAAGCATTCTAAGAGAAGCAATACTTCAAACCTCCTTTCCTTCTTCAGTCATTTTATTGTAGTCCTTCAGAAGGCCAAGTCAATATCTTCAAACAAAAAACGCCAAGAAACAGCAACTGTCTCAACCCCTTGGTTCCGGAGCTGGAACAAGCACGGCTCTATCCGAATATCCCGTCGTATAAATACGGCACACCCTAGACACCCGCGCCGCACAATCCTCCTCGGTTGGATGTGGATGTATTAATTAAGATCCTTGTTCCTTAACCATGTCAGCCCTGATTAGAGGGGCTTCCTCCTCGGTTCGAGGGTCAGGGTCCGGGGTTGTGCAGAATGAGCTGATGTGAGATGGTCACTCCCAAACGAGTCCGTGGCCACGGTGGTTTGATGTCTTGTCATTATGAATAAGAAATCTACATCTCGTGTCATCGAGGTTTGGGTTATGAGCCCAGAAGTACAGTATGTGATGGGCATGCCAGCCCAGAAATAGCCACCCGGTATATCCGTAGTCTTTGTAATCCGCTACAAGCCGGTCCTACGTCTTTTGACGGTCCCCTGCCAATGTTCCCGCAGTCGATCGGTCGGTCGATGCGCTATACTCCGAACGCCATGAATGGTACATTTAATAAAACTTATGGCATGTTAGCATTGGTGCAATGTAGCGATGAATAGGTCAACATACCAGGTTCAATGCCCAAAGAAGGACAAGAATGCCAACCATGCGGACCTTGATGTTGTTGGCCCAAGAAGACTTGGAAGGCATGTGCCGGGTAAGCGGCGTCAGGCTGGAGAACAGCGAGCTGCTCATGAGTGGCTCGGCATCAGCCTTGCCCTCAAGGTCGAACTGCTCGTCTTCTGCCGTCTCGGTGGTCCATTGAGTAGTCAGAAGCTTGACCATACCGCCCGTAGCATCCGCGACACGGGAGCTGATCCACAGGAAGATGGGAACAATGACGACAAGAGCCCTCCATCGGTCACTGAGAAGACCGCCATCGCCGTGGAAGATGTCGAGAAGGAGAACACCCTTTGTATCGGCTGCCAGGAGGATATGGAACTGAAGGGTAAATGTCTCAAGGGAGCACTTGCCGAGCCAGCCAAAGGATCGAGAGTACCATGTTCGCGCAACTGGGGAAATGTTGCGAGCGGCGATGAAACCCATGATGGGGATGAAAGAGAAGATGGGGTGCAGCTTGGTGTAGTCCTGCTTCTTCTCGGCGTGGCTCACGGCAACCCACCAGTACACGGGCATGGAGAGGATACCAGCAATTCCAGCAATGCCATACGACTTGGTGAGAATCAGGTTGTAGGCCTTGGTTCGGACAGAGGCAATGCCCATGAGAATACCGACGTAGACGATAAGGCCATCCAGACCCAGGCGGAACTGCCACTCATGAAGATCCCAGTTAATTCGGAAGACAAGGCTGAGAGCGGCAAAGACCCATTCGAGAACAGGCGTCCAGAGCATGACTCCAGGGCAGATGGCAGCAGAGATGATGATCTTGACGACAAGGGCGTATGTGTTGTCGTTGTACTTCTTACCGATGGCGAACAGGGCGTAGATGATGACAAACCAGAAGCTAACGAGGGGCGCAAAGTAGTAGAACATGTAGTCAGTGTTCATGATGAATGGAAGGGCGCAGCTGAGGAGGTTGAGTCGCAGAAGCACAGCAGCAACTCGCTTGAAGGAAAAGTCCTTCTTGGTGCTGAAGAAGACGGCATGTCCATAACCGGTCTGGAAAAGATAAGCCGCAACAAGAAGACGCACTCCAACGTAGATGTTGAGGTCGCGAGAAGCACCAGTCCAATGGTAGACCAGAATAATAGCCTGCATCCAGCCCTTCCACTCGTCGGTCTGGTCGCGGGACAGAGGCTTCATATCATCAAGAGTCGCCGGAGCAGGAGTCGTGGATCCAGGCCTGGCGGGCGGAGGCTTGGACTTTGCGAGGAAGGCAAAGCCAGCGATAAAGCACAGGGCGGTAAGGAGGTTGAACTCAAAGGTGACATACTCCTTGGAGCCCTTGGCGAAGGACTGGGTGCGATCAGCCCAGTAGCAGGCGAGAAGACCAGTTACAAAGGTAGCAACGTCGGCATTGAAGATGGACAGCTTGGGCACCTGCTTGGACATAAGGGCGAGGATCTCGAACAGAGCAGCAGCGCCGACGTAAAGAATGCCGAGAGCAACAATGACGATTTGGATCCAAGACTTGGCGCCGTAGTCGGTGCAGCAAGTGCGGTCGTAAGGGTATCCCTTCTTTGCATCAATCTTGGCATTGCATCGCAGGTTAAGAAGGATCTGGGCCTTCATCTCGGAGACAGAGTCAATAACGTGGAAGCCGTTCTCGAGGTCCTCCATGACACCCATCTGATCTTGCGAGAGGGCAGGGTACGACCAGAGCATGGGGATGCCAGATGTTTCTTCCATCGTCTCGAGGTATTCGTCGATGGCTTCGATCTCGCCGGGGTTCGAGGCAATGCCAGTCTTGCGGTAATCGGGCATCTCGTCGTAAAAAGGCGGCGCAACGGGAGCAAGGAACAGCTCGGAACCGATGCCATCGCGGGGGTCCATGGGTCGGGAGCCGAAGGGAGCAAAGTCCTTGTTCTGAACAATGGCTGAGACGTTCTGGAAGGTTGTCTTGAACTTTTCGAGCGAGACACCTTCCTCGAATCGGGCGGCGTACCAGATTCCTATGCCCATGAAGATAAAGGCCGGGGCCTTTTGCTGCTCGATGGGCAATGGGTCGAGCCTCTCCTGGCGGTAGAGGGCGAGCTGGTCCTCGATCATGTCGGTGGCATTACCGGGCTTCATGAGGGGATCCCAGACCTGGACCAGGCGGACTCCGCCAAAGTCCATGTCGTGGATGCCATGCTTGTTGCTATTCTTTCGCGCATCGTTGGCTTTGTCGGCGTCGAGCTGTAGAGAAGCATTCCGGTTAGCTACCGCGACTTCCCTTTGTTGATGGCTCGTGGTCACGTGATGCGACCGTCAAGCTGAACAGAACAACTTGATGACCTCTTATTGTGAACTTACCAGCCGGGCCATTCCATAAAAGATCTGTCGCGTAGTCGAATCACCAAAGAAGAGCATGTGTCGTCCCTCCATGCAGTCGGCAATCTCCTCCTTCTTGTACTTGTGCAGCATGCAGCCCTTGGGTTGCCAGTTGGTGAAAGGCGCCCGGCTGCCATTGTTATCGGGCGCATTCAACCAGCTTCCCTCGTGAAGCAAGGCGTTGCACCGATAAGGGTCGTCGCTGAGGTTGAGCTGATTGATGACAATGCCCAGAATGACGACCAGCGTCACAGCCAAGGGCAGAATGCGACCAAGGGCGACGCCCGAGGATTGAATAGCGGCGAGCATGGCGACCGTGTCCGATAAGCACGCGGCAGATTTAACGAGAGTTGCTGGGAAATGATTGTACGCCGAGAAACGGCAAAAAAGCGAGTGAAGAGCGGTTATGTCGAAAAAGAAGACGGTCGCATTTGGTGAATTAATTCGGATTCTTTCCGCCTTTGCCGACAAGAGCGAGGGACAAGATACGGCAAAGAAAGAAGATTAGATGGATGAAGCAAGAAAAAAGATGACAGAGCAGCAAAGAAGGCAGGCGATCGGTGGCTTAGAATACGGGAAAATCGAAACTTTGGTTTCCTCATATAGAACACACACACATGCCACACACACACACACACAGCGCTCTCACTCACTGCCTGCCTCTCCCGGTTATGCCCCCCCCCCCTGATCGGCAATGTGAATTGGGATGACCCTCGAGGGGAGGGGGGTCCACAGTAACAGTGGGATGGATGGCGCTGTAGTGGACCCCCAGAGGAGGAGATCAGCGACCGAGAGGCGAGAGATGCGCTGACTGTTGGCTTGTCAAAAGATAGGGAAAATAGGGGTCTTTTTGCTGTCAGATTCCTTCATCACACACATTCTCACTCTTGTTCAGGTGCTTTCCTTCGAGCCGCGGGGCTAAAGATGATGCCAAGGAGAGGGACTGATCGATGGTGGCAGCCCTGGTGGATCTAGAGGAACGCCATGGGAGGCATGGTCCCCCTAACGCAGGTGGACGCGACCAATCTCTGGAGTCCGAAGCGAGCTGAAAATGTGCCTTGACTAGCTAGTCTTTCAGCCACAGGAATTCTGATTTGGTAAAGAGGAGGTGGTGCCTGGTGCTGTCGAGAAAGCTTGTCTTGCCCAGTCCTTCTCCTTGTGATGCCCAGCTTTCCCATCGCGTTCCGAGGACAACTCGCTTGGTCGGTCGGAGCTCGGGAGCGTCAGAGTTGCCGGGCTGGTAAAAAAAAGCTTGACAGGATTAAGGTTGCAAGAGCCCTAGTACCAACGAGGCAAAGAGGCCGGAGAGATGGGCCATCAACCTTGCGTCATTTCAGCGGGTGTGGTCAGAGCATCATTCTTCATTCCCCTTACAATTTTCGCTTCCTAACATTCTTCATCACAGATGGGTCCCCTCTACCCCTGTGTACATACTCCGTAAAGAATCCCAAATCCATCAGTCCACTACTTCATTACCGACCTTACTTTTTACGCAACGAGGCGCTGATGGCGCTCGAAACTATTGTCCAGCTGAGAGACTGAATCCTTCGATAGTTTCAAACTGAGTGACCCCCGCTAACGCCCTCTGGGTCCACCAGGTTCTCCTTTTCCCTGCCTGAAACTAACGGGCCCCACTAGGCCGTTTGCGGTTTGTCGGAGGTTGTCACTGATCAGCCGAATCAAATCAGGTTTTTTTGCTTGCTCGTTTCGCGCGGGTTACCCTAAACAGGGACGTTTTCTGCAGATTAATCTCGACAGATGCTGACAGATCATGCAAAAAGAGATGCTTTGCCGAGGTGCGGTTCTTTCTGTACATATGCAGTCATGGTGGTAGATGAGCCAGGGACCGTTTGCGGCGTGGTAGATATCTAATTGCTGACCTGCTTACATTTGACAACGGTGTGCTCGGTTGCGCCCGG